ACACATACCAGCTTCATCATTGTGTCTGTCACGCGACTCTGTTCCCCTTTCGGGCTTGAACTGATGGTAAAACTAATGACATTATTAACTGTCTCTACATTTATTTTGAAAGCTGAAGCTGCGATTATGGTAAGGGTTACATTTCCGACGAGTGCTTGCGGTGTTTGGCCAATCACAATGCACTGGGTCAGCTGGCCAATCAGAGCAGACTGCGCTTGTCAAAGGAGGGGGCTTTGTAGAAAACGAAGCGTTTGAGAGAGGCGGGGCATAGAGGACCTACAATAATGTACAGTATTTGAAAAATAATGTGTTTTTTGAACATTAAAGCATGTCGACATATTCTGTTATACCAAATACACAAAATAATGATCTTTAAAAAAGCATCATATGACCCCTTTAAATAATAAACATGCTAAATAAAAGCATTTTACTAATGGTCTCAGACATTTGGACCCCACTGTATGTTGTATGACTAAAAATGACTAAGCTGATAACCTTGCAATTTCTTTGCAAGTGAAATTGGTTCAATTCTCTTGTGAAAGCAGGAGGGTTACATAACAGGCATAAACTCCTACAACTCTTCCTAGAAGTTCCTTCAGTCATACATGTGTCACTCTCGTCTTTCTTGCACAAGCCACCACTCCTTTTTGACCTTTCAGAGCGGTTATTATTTGATACCCTCCACCTAACACGCACACACACGCACACACACACACACACACATACACAAACACCATTTCTGCTGACGCTGCATCCCCAGCGGCGATGCAACAATGCAAACAGGAAAGAGATTCATTTACAGGGCTTCTAGATACCTGATCTTTACAGATCACAAGCAAAGACAATCCTGCAGAAAATCATAATAGCTTTGAAAGTAATAGCATAAACAAACCCCTACCCCAAGTATGGCCAATAATAATAATAGTAAAAGCACCACTAACTACCAAACACTTACCTTCCTTCCTTTGAAGACATGGTACCATACCGATGTGCCGCCAAAGTCGATGTGGAAGTCAGTGAAACAGCCTTTTACACTCATCAGACAGTACCTACAGAACGAGAGAAACAGGGAAAGTACAAGGGTGATTCGCAACATCTGCATAAATAGAGAAGAACGATAAATCCCTAATGCGGTTTCTAAGTCCTGACAAAAAAGATTGCATTTGCAACAGGGAGTAACCACACCATGGAAATGTTCAACTCCCAACTCAAAATGAATATTTCCTTCAAAACCATACACAGTGGAATTTCCCCTTCTCAATCAACAGCGTTATCAAAGCTCAGCAAATTATGATTTCAAAAAAAAAAATTTCAGCAATAAATCAAGGCTAATTTCTCTCTCAGAACATACAGAACGATAGTCATGGACATGGGTTTGTTTCAGATAAAGCCGTCTCAGCACCAGAACAGGGATGGAAGCTATTTACGGCTTATGCATTTGTCATCCGCAGCGTTTAGCAAGGAGCGAAATTAATCAAACCCCAAACTGCCTCAGTGTCTGGTTAAAATCTGTCCCACTGAGCCGGGAGAAGAAGAAAGTGAAGAAATCCGTTAGCTCTAATGAGCAAAAGGCATCGCTCACCGCTGGGCGTCGTGAACTAAAAAATGATTAGGCATCAATTTAGGCAAGCCCAGATGGTTGAGGGCCTGAGAAATGAGACTTCTAAATTTAGGGTCACCAAAGTAAGGATTTCACAATGGTTAGAAATGCAACTGACTGTTGAATTATTACCAGACAGTTTTGCATGTTTTGCAGAGTTCTGGCAGTGTAAATGTCAGATGATGTCACTGGAGATGACATCATGTCACTCATAGCATCAACAAACAAGCACATTGAGCACTTTGAATCCAGATGTTTTCCATACTTCAAACAAGGCAAAAGCATTCTTAGACTCAATAACTGCAGGCTGCAGCAGGTAACACTAGGGTAATACCTTGCAACCTGAACCCTCAGAGGTTACATCCTATGATTGGAGCTCTTCGATGAAAGGTTATGAATAAATAATTAATGACTACATAGTACCCTCACAAAAGGCCTAATAATGCAGTAATAATGACCCCTTTTTATGGATTTAAACACTTCGTCACGGAGGTCATGACATAATTATTGTGACTATTAAAATAAAAATGTAATATTAATAGAATTTTTATATTAAGAAAAAAGATATTTTTTTAAATATTAAGAAAATATTATTCAAACGAATTTGAAAACATTATGAACATAACATTATGAAGTATTTAAATTTTTAATAAAAAAATGTATAACATTGATTTTAACATTACCCCATGTTAAACATATTAATATATTATTTTATTATTTATATTATTAAAATTCTATGTAAGAACTAAAATATAATTGATATATTACTTAACTAAAAAACAAAATGTAACATTTTAAAATATTTTAATTTTATTTTAAAAATATGTGTAACATTAATATAAAAATTGCCCCTTGTGTAACATATTAATAGAATTTTAATATTAATAAAAAAAGGTATTTTTTAAATATTAATAAAATATTATAAAAACTAATTTGAAAACATTATGAACATAACATTATGAAGTATTTAAATTGTTAATAAAAATAATTTAGAACATTGATTTTAACATTACCCCACGTTAAACATATTAATAGAATTTTAATAATATAATAATATATGTAAGAACTTAAATATAATTTCATATATAACTTAACTAAAAAACAAAATGTAACATTTTTAAATATTTTTTTTTTATTGTAAAAATATGTGTAACATTAATATAAAAATTGCCCCTTGTGTAACATATTAATAGAATTTTTATATTAATTTAAAGTATTTTTTAAATAATAATAAAGTTAATAAAAACAAATTTAGCATTAATATAAAATGTTATTTTAAAAAATGGTATCATATTAATATAAACCCCCATGTGAAACAGTAAACAAATATAATATTATACATTATATTTAAATAATATAATATTTAAATCTGACTCTTTATTCATGGTTGTTCACATCTCCTGCCACATCTTATTTTTGTGCAGAATTGCATTTTCTGGCTACTTGAGCTGCATTTCATATTCTATAACTGTATACATGTATAATGACACCAAAGCAGAAATAAATGCATCAATAATTCTGTTATATGAATATAGATAACTCAAACGGTGACCGTTGCAGCCCGTGTCATCCAGTCAGTGAGAGGGATGATGCACCAAAGCAACCAAAACAAAACTATAACCATGATGTGCACAAACATGCTGCGTGAGCTTATAAAATTTCAGACCACACATGCAACCCTCACAAACATGTGTTTTACCAGACCGCATAACCATAAGTAGAATGACCACAAATTATTGGTCACTCTTTCATAAAACTAGCAAAGAAAGTTGAGCAAACTATACCAAACCATAATAAGACCTCTAAAGGATTCTTTAAATTATCACACCATAGTTTTCAGTGAAATAAAAGACACATACCCAGAAAATGTTCATCCTCATTTGAAGCACTTTGCCGTTCTGACATCTGCCCATGTAATTCAAAAGAGGAGAACTGAAGTGACTTTTAGCGCTGAATTCTTCCTTTATAAAGAGCTCAATGAATACAGAGAGTCAGGAGGAGGGAGTCAAAGGGAAAGTGAGATAGAGAAAGAGAGAGAGAGTGGGCTTTCCTGTGGAGGAAATACTCCCATGCGATATTCTGATTGGCTAAGGAGGATTCATTGGGATACTGCAGCAGCCCGTGAAGATCCGCCTCTTCTCCGCATTAGAAGTGTGCTGCCTAGCAACCTGATGGAGTCACAGCCAGCTTCAGGCCAAAGAAATGCGCAGCATGCGCCGAGGAGCAAAACAAGGGACTGTGGGAGATGAGCAGACCTCATCTTTGACTGACGCAGGATTTCAGATCGACTCAACAAGCTTTGAGCTGTGTCAGAAAGCCAAAATACTTCATGAAGGGAAATCGGAGCAGACAGAAGAGCAACAAAACCTTTATGGGCATTGAAACATGCACATAAAATTGCAAAAATAATAATGATAATAATGATCTCCAAATGGCAAATTTTCTTCTTCTCTCCAGTTCTTTTTTTGCCATTTACAGAGCCTAACTCGTCAGAGAGCCTGTGATTTCTCAGGACACACTCGGGGGGAAAAGCATTGGCTTTAATAGACCCTTTTCACATTTCTGGGATTCTCAGAAGCGGAAGTAGTCAAAGTTGGGTAGTGGTGAACAGAAACTACAACAAATATAATTTTTGCATTCCCATTTGCTCTAATACTAGGGTTGCACGATAAATCGAAATGGAATCGAGATCGCGATTCGACAGAAGCTGCGATTGTCATGCGTATCTTTCAGTGAAGCACTGTTCTGTGATCAGCAGTTAATCTCCATCCAAAGGCCAGAGGGCGCTCTCGCGCTGAAACTCCAAATACGCCTCGGAGAAGTGACTAAGAACGTGACTAATAAACACACGACTACGGCAATATATGGTTTATCTGAGTTCTTATTATTATAATTTTCATTAAAATAAAGTATATTTATAATGCAATGCCTTTATCACTGCTTAAATACTATGACATATGTTGCGTGCCTTATTCTGTGTAAGAAGCCACATCATCTCACAGAAGGATTTATTTCAAACACTCGACTGACGTTATGAAGTGAGTTTGGAGTAAAAATATGTTATTAAATGTGGTATTTTCACATGCTTTCAGATGGAGCAGCATTTACTTCACAGAGCCGTAGTTCACTGAGAAGCTATGCAAACAGCTGTCATTATCGCGAGCGATTTCTTCGATTTCAGAATCGCGCAATAAAATCGTCTGCGATTTTTTTTTGCGCAACTTGTCAGTGAACTACGGCTATGTGTAGTAAATTCTGCTCCATCTGAAAGCACGTGATGATGATTTCCTGCTGATTACAGAACCGGCATTACTATCAAAATGCGCATGACAATCGCATTCGATTAATTGTGCAGCCCTATCTAATACTAATAGAAAAAAATCCACAATAGCATTTCTGTTACTTTACAAAAGAGGAAAAATATTGAGAGATAATTTAATGTGTCTTTTGTATGTGTCTGTAATTTAATGCCAAGATAATATAACACAAAGTATAGTGAAATAAATTAAATTTAAATTTAATTAAATTTTTAAAAAAAAAAGGAAAAAATAAAAAACTGATAGTTTTTTTTTTATGGTAATAACAGTAAATGCGTCATCACAGTCTTTGGAAAAAGGTCTATTCCTAATTGTTTTCCAAAAATTAACTAAAATATTACCTCTGAACTTTGGGATATTTCATCTCAGACATGACGTTTGTGGTTTCGGTTTGTTTCTGTTTAAGATGCCGCGGCCACATATTGTCCACCCAATCCACCAGATCCACCTAAAGACAATCAGAAATACGTTAAAATAAAACGACGGGCATAAGAAACATTAAAACCCAAAGATACAAAGGAAGTTTTTAAATGCTTAACAACTAGATTCATTTACAACAATAACTGAAATTCTAACTTCTACACTTTATTATTAATATTAACAGTCGCCCTTTGCATGTGCAGAGTTATTTTAGTATTACTGATATACTATTATAGTTGTTATTCAAATTTGTAAGTAGCTTTTATTTTTATACTTTTAGTTTCATAGTAATTCTTTTTAAATTTATAGTAATTCTGTTATGTGCTTTTGTCATTTTTATTAGTTCTGGTTTAATTAAAATATTACAATTTAGGTTTAATTTATTTTTATTTGTTTTATTTTTTATTTATTTCCAGTTAGTAATTTTAGTGACTCAACCTAAACTAAACGAAATTAGAAATGTTGACTTGGCAACTAACTAAAATAAGCTCTTCAGCTAATATTTGTATTTTATTTGAGCTTTATTTCAAATATTCATCACATATTTTTTATAATATTTCTACCAAATAAAACAAACATACATTTTTTTTTTTTGTAAATCCCCAAAATTGCATGAAGGTATTAAGATTGAATGACATTGGCAAATATCACTGGGCCATAAATTATTACTAATGTATTTGACTTGATATTACTAATGAATTTATTGAGCGGAGCATTACTAGTATCCCTGCTCTCATCTACCCAATTACATTCACACTTACTGACATGTATGATACTTTGAAGAAAAGACTGCAGTCACAATGTCATCTTAAATCATGTTTAAATGGCAACTGCGCATTTTAGAGCAAATGAATGTTGAAAAGCGACAAATCAACCAAACAAATCGACCACGTTTCTTACCACAGTTGGTCTCTTGATCAAATTCTCCAGTTTGGTGTGACTGAACTCCAGGCTGATGACGTTGAACAGCTTGTCACGTTCATCCTCAGGCGTCTCATAGTAGCGGACGAACTGTGCCATGCTCATCTCTGAGCCCTTCTGTGTGCTAACGTCCATCACGTCAACAGCTCGCCTGCTGCCTGAACATCCATGCAGAGACAAGCACTTTACCACTCGATAGGCTACTCCTCTCCAATACAAGAAGTTATTTCGAATAAATATTTCTATTAAATTAGTTTTTCATGCTGAAGCGAGATTAATTATACTGGAATGGATTAAGGAACCTAGGAAGTTTGTTTCCACCATGGAATAAACAAATACAAAAAATTGTGACTCTTATCTTAAAATTCAGACTGTTTCTTGAAATTCTGAGAGAAAAAGTCAGAGTTGCGATATATAAACTCAGAATTCAGAGTGTTTTTCCTTGCTACTCCGAGGGGGAAAAAAACTTTTTTTCTCAGTATTATGACTCTGAGTTTATCTCTGGCATTTCTGTATGCATGTAAACTCAGAATTCTGAGAAAAATGTCAGAATTTTCAGATTTTTCAGAAATATTTCAAATAAATAAATCACAATTGCTTTCATGTTTTTATTCTGTGGCAGAACAGGCTTTCATAGGTACCTGATTTAAAATCAGGTTACACTTTATTTCGATAGTCCACTTTAGACATTCTATTAACTATAAGTAACTTTGTAACTACATGTCAACTACATGTCAACTAATTCTCATTAATTGGCAACTACATGTCTACTAACTTTCAGAGTAGACTGTACGGTTAGGTTTAGGTTTAGTAGAATAAACTGACATATACTTGCAAAGTTTGTCATAGTCAGTATGTTGTATGTTGTGGACCCCTCAAAATAAAGTGTTAGAAGATATTAAGCAGACAGTCTACTAATACTCTAATGACTGCTAGTTGACATGTAGTTGCAAAGTTACTTACTGTTAGTAGAATGTCTAAAGTGGACTATCGAAATAAAGTGTTACCTAAAATCATTATGAAAAGAAAATTTTAAGGACTCAGACGCACATGCCATGGCCTATACTGAGTTGCAGATGCATAGTATCACCACAAGAGGACATAAAGTTTGCTGTTAATCCATTTTTTGTATTTTCTGAGCAGGTCTTGCTGTGAAGTTATACAACTAAGTTTAAACGTTTTGGTTCTAACTGGAACCTTTGGTTTCTAAAATGTACAGCCAATAAATATTCCTCACTGTTTTTTATTCATTACCCTCTTAATACACAGATAATTACAAAGTTATTTACCAGCATCATAAATCAATGTACAGGCCATAAATCTGTGAGTAAATACAAAGCTCAGACAGCTTACGTTCTTCCTCAACCCTAATAAGGAGTAAGATGGACTTTGTATGTATGTGCATGACAACATCAAATTGATCAGCCAGATAAACTAGTGCATATGTACTCTTTATAATATAATCGTTGCCTGGGTTGCGTACGTATATGTGGGGCGGAGCTATCAAAATAGGGGCAAGACCCTTTTGGGGTAGGGGTGTGTTTGTTTTGGTGATTTCAAATATCAACATTGGCTACCAGAAATCCCTTACTCTGCCTTTAAGACAAAAGAAGACATTCTGGAGAATGTGGATAACCAAAAAGTTTCTGGTCCCCATTGATTATAGTATTTTCCCCGTACTATGGAAGTCAATGGGGACCAGCAACATTCTTCAAAATATCATTCTTCAAAATATCATCTTTTATGTTCAACAGAAGAAAAAAACATTTTGGGGTGAACTATGCCTTTAATATCAACCATTTAATATCAAATTATGAGCAGGACTATAAGTACAACTTATATTTGCAGGTGCAGGTGCCAATAAGAGAACAAAACCCCCAATATTTAAGAATATAATAAATATTAATTGCACTAATAAGCAATATACACACAAAAAAGTAAAAGAACATGTACCTTTTCCCTCCATATACTGAACAAATTGACTGTTGTATGAATTGCTCTCAAGTTTGTCCTCCAAGCTGAAGCCCCTGATGTTTGTTATCTCCTCCACATCTGACAAGTCCTCGTTCTCATCGTACATCCTTCTGCAGGTCGAGCGCTGGATGAAAACAACATATGATGAAGATGAAGATGAAGAGAACCTGCCTCATTCTGTGCTCGGATGTGAGATGGAACGCTGGGCTGGGATGCTCTATCATTTGCACGAATGTCAAATTCCATGATTAACATTCAGGCCTTAATCGTCGACCATCTTACAGCTGTTATATAATTAATACATGTCAAATCAGCGTGAACGAGTTCAAACTTCCCGATGAATATTAGACACGAGGGTCGCGGGGCAACAATGCGTGCTGTCTCGCACGAGCGTCTGTATATGGAGCATCTTGCTCTCTTTGTAATATTATGAAACGTGTGCTTTCCTGTTTACCATTACGAGCCGATCGTTATTACATTTAAACTACTAGTGTGGCGTATGTCGCTCTAATTCTCGTATTACAGTGATTCGCACCGATTTAGGCCACTAAACACAATGCATATCGATGTGAGGCTGAAATCCCCGATTTAAAACGAGTCTTTGAGAGGACAGCTTCAACTACACACCAGTTTGCGTCCGGATTCCGCACACGCCTCCATGTCCGAGTCTTTCGTCCGTGTTAATTCCCTCAGCGCTTTATTTGGACCATATTCAACGCGTAAAGTTGTGCACACTTTGATTGCTTGTATAGAAAACTAAGTAGGAACCATTTTTGTGTAGTGCACCGCGTGACGTCACGGTCAACAGAATCAAAATATTGCAGGCACGTCACGCGGATCGTGTTTATGAGGGGCCAAAACAATATGCGATATTTTTTTTCTGAGTACTTATCAGGGGTGCGTTTCCCAAAAGCATCGTTAGCTAACTATGGTTAGTTCCATTGAACTCTATTGGTAACGACGGAACTTGCGACCATAGTTGCTTCTGGGAAACGCACCCCAGAATGGTTTGTTTGTGGGGGGCGTTTTACAAGCAGAAATTGTTTTTTGAGGGAGTCGGAATTGCTCTTTCTTTATTCGGTTTGGCACGCACGGGCTGCAGCTGCTAAACTCATGCATTTGTGCTTCGACAAGATACTCTATTAGTGCGACAATAACTGATATTTACTACCGTTTGCCTATTCTGATATTACATCCACACGTTATAGCCTCAGTTACAATAGAAATAGCCTACATATGCATGACCGATTCTTTTTAAATCAGAATTATTTGGGGCATTGAATGAAAGATTTAGAAGATTTATAACAGATTATTATTATTAGTAATAGTAGTAGTAGTTATCACCATCATCATAATTAATATTATCATTGTTTATTATTTACCAATTACTTTAAAAAGCTAATAGTGACCAAGTTGACATCAAAATGTGCATATTTGCTAATATAGTAAGGAGAAAAAATATTCATCCTCATGACAAATAAAAACTACCGTTTGCCTATTCTGATATTACATCCACACGTTATAGCCTCAGTTACAATAGAAATAGCCTACATATGCATGACCGATTCTTTTTAAATCAGAATTATTTGGGGCATTGAATGAAAGATTTAGAAGATTTATAACAGATTATTATTAGTAGTAGTAGTAGTAGTAGTTATCACCATCATCATAATTAATATTATCATTGTTTATTATTTACCAATTACTTAAAAAAGCTAATAGTGACCAAGTTGACATCAAAATGTGCATATTTGCTAATATAGTAAGGAGAAAAAATATTCATCCTCGTGACAAATAAAAATATAAAAGTTTTTTGATTAATGCATAATATTAACTAAAATTAATTTAGATTTTTAAAATGTGCATATTTGTTAAACTTCACAAATAATGTGTAGTGTTAATTAAAATAAAATTAGATTTTTATGAAAAATAAAAAGTGAATATTTGCTAATATAGCTGTTATTGTTAATATTTGATAATATAGGAGAAACAAAAAATACATACAGACAAATAAAAATATATATATTTTAAATAATGCATAATGTTAACTAAAGTAAAATTATATTTTTATGAAAAAAAGTTTTTATCAAAATGTGCACAGTTGCTAATATAGCAAGGAGAAACGAAAATGCTTCCTCCTGGCAAAGTAAAATTTCTTGTTGATGTGTTTAGAAAACGCGTAAGATATTAATATTTTATACATATGAAATTACATTTTTAAAAAGAGCCATTTACAAATAATTTTACAAAAAACATAATAATAATAATTTTGTTAAGAAAGTATTCAATACAAAATATTCACCTACATCGATTCTGTTATGTTCTCACACGAATAAATGTGTAAACAAATGTGTTGTCGCGAAGGCTTGTGGGTAATTCCTTCACGATGCATCCAGTTTCACTTGAACAAGCCAGCTGACTGTCTCGTTCAGCCGCGGCGCTGGAGATTCACCATTAACCCGGCGCAATGCTTCGGTTCAGCTGAATCTCTCGGATAGTTTCTCATAATCTCTGCTCGGATGAACATGAGTCGGAACGAGCATTCGCTGCAGGCTCTGTCCTGGAGAAAGCTTTACCTGAGCAGAGCCAAACTCAAAGCGTCCAGTCGCACGTCTGCTCTTTTATCCGGTTTCGCAATGGTGAGTTGTTTTTCGCGTCTGTTTCTTTAGTGCTGTGGATGTTCAGTTTGCACCGGCGGTATAAACACCGAGTTGTTAAAGAGAAAGCGCGTCTTTAATAATGTTGTGTAAGTTTAAGCGAATATTTTGGATTCAAAAGGCGCATGACTCGAGTCTTTAATGCATCTGCAATCACAAACTGACAGCCACAGTTGTTTAGCTTGTGCTAATGCTCAGCTAGATACTGTACATATATTCATGACTGCAGTTTTTACTTAGTGATGCTTATAAAGAGCATCACGAGAAACATATTACCCGGATGCAGCCAAAACCTCAACTTCTTGATTCTTCCACTGCAGTGCACTTTAATTCCGGGCTTTAAGATTCTTGAGACATCTTACAATTTAATTTGCACATGCCCAACTTTAAATTAACATGTCAATCTTCTTAAAACCTAAATGCACGTTCTGTTTCATGTAAATATTCTTAATGTTTAAAAAAAATAATTCTAAAAACATTCAAATCAATTTTAAAGGCTTTTTATTTTTATTTTAGATAGATAGATGGACGGACATACAGACCTACAGATAGATAAGCTTTAAAAAAAAAAAGGCATTTTTTAAATTATTTATATATAGATATATAAATATATAAAAATAAATGTGTTATTTATTATAGATCTATAGATAGATAAGCTAAAAACATAATTTTTTAAATCATTTTTATAATACTTCCCAGATAGATAGATAGATAGATAATTTTTTATAATTATATATATGTATATATATATATATATATATACACATTTAGATGTTATTTATTTACATATGATTACTTATTACTAATAATAAATAAATGTAAATGATTTTATTATACATCATTTATATTTATACTTATAGTATTGTATACTATAGCTAGCAACATTTAATATATTTTATGTTACATAAAATTGTTTATTTTGTCAGCACAGTAAGGTTCCTCTCTAATGGTGTTGAAAATTCAATTTATGGAGTAGAAAATCAGTTTAAAAACTTTCATCAATGTGAATGCTAGTTTTCTCATTATAATGACTGGGTTCAGAGACTGTATTTTACCTGTGTTTTCCTTTCATTCAATAGGTGGCCATGGTGGAAGTACAGCTCGACACCAACCACGACTATCCCCCAGGACTGCTCATCGCTTTCAGCGCTTGCACCACTGTGTTGGTGGCCGTCCACCTGTTCGCCCTCATGGTGAGCACCTGCATCCTGCCCAACATCGAAGCGGTCAGCAACGTGCACAACCTCAACTCTGTGAAGGAGTCTCCTCACGAGAGAATGCATCGCCACATCGAGCTGGCCTGGGCTTTTTCCACCGTCATTGGAACATTGCTCTTCCTGGCCGAGGTGGTCCTGCTGTGCTGGGTCAAGTTTTTACCCATTAAGCCGAAGGACCAGAAAAACGGTACTATATCCGCCGGGGTGGCCGCTGCGATCACGTCTACCTCCATCATGGTCCCTTTCGGCTTGGTTTTTATCGTCTTCGCTGTGCATTTCTACCGCTCACTGGTCAGCCACAAGACCGACAGGCAGTTTCAAGAGTTAGAAGAGTTGGAGGACTTACAGAACGAATTGGACCATCGAGGGGAGTCATCTACGTTACAGTCTCCCAGTTCCCTTTACCCCTAGTTTTGAGTTTGGGAAAGAGCTTCTGTTAATGTTTTGGGTTTGTCATGTATTGCAACACATCGTTTTTTTTGACCATAGTATTGATCTATTTGTTGCATGTGGACACCAAAGCATCCAGTTTTATATGTGTTGAGGATTTGTCCACTGTTTCTGCTAGATTTACTTATAACAGACTGTGATAAATGTGAAAGCATGCACTGCATGTTTTATGGATATTTTCTTTTCATTTTTTTCCTCTTCTTATTGAAATAGTTCGCCCAAAAATGAACATTTTCTGAAACTGTACTCACTCTCAGGCCATCCAGGATATAGATGAGTTTGTTTCTTCATCAGAACAGATTTGGAGAAATGTAGCATTACATCACTCGCTCACCAATGGATCCTCTGCAGTGAATGGGTGCCGTCAGAATGAGAGTCCAAACAGCTGATAAAAAAATCACAATAATCCATTAAGACATTTTTAACTAAAAATACGGCTAAAATATGACTCCCCTATCCATGATATTGCTTTCTCCAGTGAAAAAGTCATCTCATCTGAATCAGGAGAGAAATATGCACAGATCAAGCTCTGTTTACAAACAGTTCAAAACAAATATGTTGATGGACTTTATCATTGGATGAAGCATTATTATGAATTATGGACTGGTATTTTGGCCAGAAGTGACAGTTTAAAGTGATTTGGTTCTTACAAACACACAGCTTTTCACTTCACAAGATGTTAATTGATGGACTGGAGTTGTGTGGATTATTGTGATGTTTTTATCAGCTGTTTGGACTCTCATTCTGACGGCACCCATTCACTGCAGAGGATCCATGTAGTGATGTAATGCTACATTTCTCTAATCTAAATTTCTAAAATCTGCTCCAAACTCATCTACATGAGTGGCCTGAGGTTGAGTAAATTTTCATTTTTGGGTAAACTATTCCTTTAATTCACCACAGGGAAAATCCTTCATTTCAGTATGGCAGCTGTGCCAATTTTGTTACTTACAAGGATTTTATTTTCACACAAGGCAAGCTGCATTCTTACAGACATTTTTTATTTTATTTTTTATTATTATTACAAGGGGACACTTTTATGTCCACTTGACCAAATAATTTTGATGCGTTCTGAATCAGGGCTTTGCTGTTGAACAGCTGAATCAAAACCAAAAATCATAGTCTTATTCAAACTCCATTGTTCTCCTAAATGAACCCCCTGAATGAGCACATCTTAGTAGAAATGAAGGCACTTTATCAACATGTTTGTCTGACCTTTTTTGGTAGTATTTGAAACAGCTTCCCATTAAAGGGGCCTCTGTTCACTCTGAAGTTGGACGCAAGTGCTTAGAGCCGTCACGACTAAAGAGCTGGCAGGATTGTGTGATTATGCTAGCAAACACATTTTTATAAAGTGTTTATTAAGCAGAGGACCGTTTAAGCATGTAGTTACATCAGCAGCATTGGTGAAAAACATTAAATTAACATGTTCAGTATTGCCAAATTGAAATACAATGATTTTTTTCCCAGATGTTTGTGAAATAATATCCATCTTGTGCAAACAGCTTGTGTAAAGTTTGATTAAGAAGCTCTTTTTATTAGTGCACACTGCACAGCATGTGCTGGAATTTAAAAGCCCACAGTTTTATACATTTTAATTAAAGTCTTAATCAGACCAACTTCAACCAAACACCTTTTTGTGTTCTTTTATATCATGTATGACATGCATTTCTTGCCAAAAACAAAATCTTGCCATTTTGTTCAATACTAGTAGATGCAGAATGTACCAACAGCTTTTATGTATTGTGTGATAGTGTTTTTATTGTGCGTGAGGGGTTGATAAAACGTATTTCACTGCACTAGTCTGCCTTTTTTGATTTCAGGATATTGTCAAGGTACATATTGCCTAGCAACCATGTGATTTGGAATCGTGGTCTCTGTTGATTTCTCCTTGTCCTCAGTGAAAAATGCTTGTGCCTCCATCAGCACAGCCTGTGAGTCCTGTAGGCAGACCTTTGGACATAAAAGCAGAGTTGTAATGCCACAGCATTTCTGAATCTGCATTTGGTAACAAACCATGCAAAATGACGAAACATTTTGAGCTGTTTGCTGTCACAGTGGTCAGAACCTATGACTGAAAGCTTGTATTATCGGTAATGCTTTATTTATTACTATTAAAATGGAAATCATGCAAATGAGCAAACATCAGCGTTAATCATTTACCATGGGAATTGGATACACTGTTGGTTTAACTGCTGCTTCTCTCCCAAAATCAAACGCGGTTCCACACTTAGCAACACCGTCAACCCAAAAGCCTTCATACAGCTGACCTCTGTCCAGGTAGTAGAACTTGCCGTGTCCGTTTTTCTGTCCGACGCTCCAGGTGCCCACAAAGCGGTTTCCATTAGCTTAGCAAAAATAAAAGATAAAAATGTCTGGATCATAATTCACAGCTCAAACTTCACTGCTTTCTTCTGCAAGAAGAAAACAAAGCCAATTTTTAGGATCATTAAGATTATTTGCATTATTTTATTTTATCCCCATTTTTTTATTGATTTTTAGCAGACATATAAAAAGGTATTACATCAGTTACAAAATGAGATAAGGTGTCTGATCAGAAGAAACACAAGAAACAAAAATTAATACATCCTTATTTTAATTAAGAAAATTTCCCCCCAAATTCTCATTACCATAATGCAAAAAATATGATTACTATCATTTATATATAATAAATTTATTAATGTAACAAATGTCATGCTAAATAAAATTGTATTGTTATTTACCATATATAAATACCAAATTGCCATAATGCAAAAATTTATCAAATATATATATATATATATTAATTGTTTTAATTATTTATTACAATTATTACTATATATATATAAGGCATTTATTTATTATTTAAAATAAATTGTAATGCTAAATAAAATATTTTAGTTTATTAATACTTATTGTATTTGATTTATAAATACAAAATAATAATGCATAAAAGATATGTATTGCTTAAATGTTTAATTTGGGAGAACTTGCACAATTGGTGGCTGACTAAATACTTTTTTGCCCCACTGTATATATATAATTACTATAACATATATAATGCATTTATCTAAATAAAATGTAATTCTAAATAAATATTTTCATTTATCATTTATGATAGACATTAGTTTATTAGTACTTATTGTATTTATGATTTATAAATACCAAATAATAAGGCATAAAATATATGTATTGCTTAAATGTTTAAATACATTATAGTATAGTATTATAATATTATTATAATGTTTAATTTCTATATATATGTATGTATGTGTGTATATATATATATATGTGTGTGTGTGTGTGTGTGTGTGTGTGTGTAATTACTATAACATATAATGCATTTATCTAAATAAAATGTAATTCTAACTAAAGTATTTTCATTTATCATTTATGATAAACATTATATACATTAGACATTAAATTATACATCTATATATTTATTATATATATATCCCTGTAGTGCAAGAACCAATATAAACTCTCACATACTCTTTAGTTTCAGGGTCAGTCTTGCTCAGGGTTCCATAGCCTTCTCTCTTTCCACACCTCCAGTCCCCATCATAGATCATTCCTGTTTTCTTCCAAACCTGTGCTCCTTTTCCTTATCAGAGTAAAAGCTATGTTCAGGAGCATTTTGTTAATGGAGGAAAATTCTGCCAAATCGAGCTTTAATAAGCAGCGTTTCCTAGGAACACATAATGTAATCTGCAGAACACATCTAAATAACAAAGTAAATTAAATTAAGGCTTGTCCATTAAAATTGCCAGGCTTCTTACTGTGATCCTCAAGGCCTCTAATGTTTAAAACATGCCATTAAATATTCAATCCAATAAATATTACCATGTTTCTTATTATCCATCCACTCGCCTGTGTATTGATCTCCATTGACTGAATACACAGTGTGATGCGGGCCACATTTTTGGGCCTTTTTGTCCCAAAGTTTTACAAGTGGTTCTGTAGTCCGGGTCTCTTCAAGAAGGTCATACTGTACATAAAAAGATGACTATTATCATTAAAATATTATTAGCTTGAACATGCTAGCACTAAAGTACTTTTTGTAGGTTTTTCTGCACTTACAAAGTGCAATTACAATAAAAGTTGAGTAAGGTAATCATAAAGTAGGTCTATTAGCACCTGCTCAGACCTTACCTGTCTTGAAACAGCTTGATCAGACCAAATTCACCATCCAAATCACTTAAATAAACTTAAAACAGACAAAACAATTATATTTAACCTGCAATAATGCTCGATGTCGACTGACCTGTCAAAGGAATTCGTGTACGGTAACCTAGCAACAAGCATTCAGCCTTGACTTATATTTATATTCGCTGACGCTCCCAGTCGTTAGGTGGCGATGTCATCCTTGGAATCTTACGCTCGCCTGTGATTGGTGGACGGGTGAAGAAGCGGAGCTGATATAAATAGCTGGAGCGCCTACTAGCGGCAGTGTGCGGCAGAGCAGCGCCAGCGCAGACGGGTACAATGTCACTGGAGAGATGTCAAAGTGAATGGACAGAAATAGAGCAAGAATATCAGCAATTACAGGTTTGAACTGAACGGATATGTGTTATATTAGTGCTCCGATAGACGAAAGATGAATCTTGTGTTAGTAAGGAAGAATATGTGTCTGTTTTGGATGTTTATGACGCGGCTAACAGGCTTTAGCTCATCAGATTAACTGATTTTCTTTTATTACTGTACATGTGTATTAAACCGGCATCAGTTCTGAAAAAAAACTTATTAAAATGACTCCATATATTCGTTTATATATTTTATTCTTTTAATAAATTTGGTGTGTTAGTAAAGTAGATCTGATAATGATTCACGAATTTAACTGGTTAAGCCAGGTTAGATGTTAACCAAGAGTTGTTGCTCAACTGTAAAAATTATCGTATAATCGATTCGTGATAGACAGGGTTAGATTACAGGATGGCGAAGCTCTAGACTCCAGGGGTTTGAATACTACTAAAAAGTGTTTTTTTAGGGCATGATACCATGGTAACACTGTTTTTGTTTTGTTTTGTTTTTTTATACATAACATGGTAGTACCCTGGTATTTTTTGAATTTCCCTGGAGTACCATGTAAAAACCTTAAGTAAAAATATTCAGTACTATGGTACAAATCAAAGAACCGTAGTATTGCCATCATTTATAATTTAACCATGTAAATACCATTGTAGCTGAATATGTAAATATCATTCAGTATTCATCACCACTCATCTATTATCGGGCCTGGTTATTGATAGAAAGGATTGGCCCATGTTTAAAATGCCCTTCTCATGTTCAAAATGACTCATGCTTAAAATGGAGCATCCAGAGGATGCCATGTGCCCATTGAAAAGTCATGCATGTATTCGGAAACGATTCTGATTTGATTTTGACTTCCAGGACTTTGACTTGCATGTTTTAGGAAACGCACAAAGTCTACAGACTGAAGCTGGAGGAGCTGACGAACCTGCAGGCGATATGCAGCAGTGCCATTAGCAAACAAAGAAAAGCCTTGAAAGACCTCAAGCATAGTCTTCATAAGTATGAGCCGAGTTTCAGATGTTACTAAAGATCTTGAGGACACATTCACAATGATGTAAACTGATCTTTTTTTGTTGAAAACAGGTGTACGAAAACTCGCAGTGAAAAAGAAACGGAGGTGATAAATGACCTGCAGGTCCAAATTAAAGAAAGGCAAAATGTCTTTTTTGACATGGAGGCCTATTTGCCAAAGAAAAATGGGTGAGTTTTAGTTCTTCATTCTGAGTGTGTTATTTATAATACCACAGTTGTGAGGTTTGGTTTTGAGGCTTTCCTACTATCTTACAACTGTTGTCTTTCAGATTGTACTTAAATTTAGTACTTGGAAATGTGAATGTCACACTCCTCAGCAACCAAGCCAAGTGAGTCAGATGTGAGCATGTCCATTGAGCGGAGAGAGATTTCCCAATACAAAATTGCTGATTTTGTGTTTTACACAACAGGTTTGCGTACAAAGACGAATATGAGAAGTTCAAACTTTATATGACTATAATACTAATGTTTGGTGCCGTCACCTGCCTCTTCCTTTTCAACTACCGGTAAGACGAGAGATCTGAATAGTTCAATGTTATTTATTTAATTTAATGTTATTAATAATTTAACGTCCCATTCACAGGGTTACAGATGAAATCTTCAACTTTTTATTGGTGTGGTATTATTGCACATTGACAATAAGAGAGAGTATCCTCATGAGCAATGGGTCACGGTGAGTTCAGTTTAAAATACATTTGATCAATGCTATGACTTAACGCTACGCTATGTCAATGCTATGACCACTTAGCTGTGGTGCTAGCGGGAGATTCAGGTTTGAATCTCTTTTCCCAGTATTTTGCTGTCCTCCCTCAATTCTATCAATTAACAATGTGTTTTGGGGCTCAAAATGCTCAAAATAAATTAAAATGAACTTTGGTTGTTTTATTTTATTTGTTTGTAGTAGTTTATTTTGTTTCTTTTTGTTTATTTATTTGGTTGCAGTACTTTATTTATTTGACCATTTGTATTGTATTTTGTTTGTTTTTGTTTATGTATTTGGTTGTAGTATTTAATTTTTATTTCTTTGTCTGTTTATATATTTATATGGTCGTGGCATTTTTATTTAAATGTTTTATTTTTTGTGTGTATTTATTTGGTTGTAGCACTTTGTTTGTCTGTTTATTTATTTGGTTGTAGTATTTTATTTTTATTTATTTATTTGGTTGCAGTACTTTATTTATTTGGCCATTTTTATTGTATTTTGTTTGTTTTTGTTTATGTATTTGGTTGTAGTATTTTATTTTTATTTATTTATTTGGTTGTAGTATCTTATTTTTATTTATTTATTTGGTTGTAGTATTTTATTTTTTATTTCTTTGTCTGTTTATATATTTATATGGTCGTGGCATTTTTATTTTTTTGTGTTTATTTGGTTGTAGCACTTTGTTTATTTATTTGGCTGTGGTATTTTATCTTGTTTGTTTGGTTTGTTTGTTTGTTTGGCTGTGATTGTTAATTTATTTGGTTGTTTTTGTTTATTTAGATGTATTTTATCTATTTATTCAGTATGTAATTTTGTTTAATGTATTATGAAGCATGATTATGATTTACGTTGTATTGATTTATTATTTCTTACTAGAATTAAAGGTTGGTGGGTGTCACATCACTACGTCTCAACCTTTTTATCAGGTGTTATGTTGACATGGTAAGTGTTTAGGCCACAAATCATATAACGTATTAATTTTTTCCCATCACCGGCTTGTATTTCATCACCACTCTCTGTTTCTGTCTTTTAAGGCCAGAAGGTCCAATGTATCAGATGTTCAGAAGTCAGTTCCTGGCTTTCTCCATCTATCAGAGTGAGTATAATCTATTAACTGCTCTCTGTGGGTTTTTATGTGTCTTTTGTTTGTTGTTAGAATGTTTAATGTTGATGGTTTATGTTTCTCTGGCAGGTTGTGTGCAGTTTCTTCAGTATTATTATCAGAGCGGCTGCTTGTATCGGTTACGGGCTCTGGGGGAACGAAACCAGCTGGACCTGACTGTGGGTAAGAATTGTGACTGATTTGAATCCTGGGAGAAATGTTGATCTGGATGATGTCATGGTTTCACGCTGCAGCTGTTAGATGCTGCAGACCCCAGACTGACCTCTCATGTTACTCTTACAGAGGGCTTTCAGTCGTGGATGTGGAGAGGGCTTACATTTCTCCTTCCGTTTCTATTCTTTGGCCATGTGAGTACCAGCATTTAACTGTTGCCTGTATCTTTTTTTTTTATGTTGATTCTCATGCAACCTTTAAAGGTCATGCAATCTTAAAAAGTTTGTCTATGAAAATTGTCATGCATTTGACAGCGTAACATCTATGTAGTTCATATAACTGTGTGTATTTTAAAATGCTTGGGGTTAGTAAAAAAAAAAATTTTTTTTTGAAAGAAATTAAGACTTCTATTTGGCAAAGACACATTAAATGGATCAAAAGGGACAGTGGAGACATTTATAATTATACAAAAGATAAAAATATATATATTTTTAATTCATCAAAGAATCCTGACAAAATCTATCACGGTTTCCACAAAAATATGAAGCAGCACAACTGTTTGCAACTTAATAAGAAATGTTTCTTGAGCAGCAAATCAGCATATTAGAATGACTTCTGAAGGATGTAATACTGAAGACCGGAGTAATGATGCTGACAATTCAACTTTCCATCACAGGAATAAATTATATTTTATAATATACTGAAACAGAAAAGTTTTTTTTTTAAATTGCATTAATATTTCAAAATGTTACTGTATTTTTGATCGAATAAATTTGCCTTTGGTGAGCATGAGAGACTTCTTTCAAAAACATTTAAAAAATGTACAGACCCTGAACTTTTTAACAGTATTATATATTGATTCCGTTGACAGGCATGTAAGAGAATTGTGTTGTTTTCTCTCCTCTGGTCAGTTTTGGCAGCTGTACAATGCTGCGAGTCTTTTTAAGCTGTCTGCCCGTGATGATTGCAAAGAATGGCAGGTAAAGAGAGCAGCTGAAGTTGTCAGACATCACTATTATTGCTCAAAACCCCAAGTATTAGTCTTCTGCACATTTCTCATCCAATACTGGTATTCATTTTGCCAGTATTGCAAATAGATTTTTGCACTTAAATGTTTTGTTTTCCAGGTGTTCATGTTGGCCTTGACGTTTCTCGTCCTGTTCTTGGGAAATTTCCTCACAACTCTAAAAGTGGTCCACCAGAAGCTCCAGACGAACAAAGAAAAGGTTAAAAATAACTGACGAGACGCCAACTGGAAGATTTCATACGCAGCGAGGCCAGTGTGGAAGTCACAGAACTGAACTTCAAAGTGCACAAAACTGTTTCGTCTATAGGAGTTGCGTCCCACAAGCTGTTTGGAGAGGGTTGGAAGTAGATGTTGACGTCTCCGCGAACTCGTTTCAGCAGCGGCAGTGAAACTCAAGATTTCGTGTCACGTTGCCCTATCGTCTGCCATGTTGTTTTTGCTCGTATTTATGCAATCACAGCAATTAGAGGGTAATGTTTGGGCTAGATACTACTGACAACTTTAAGACCCTGTATACTCAATAAGTGAGGAGACTTCAGTTCACTTTTGTTTTGTTCCTGTGCATGAATATGTTTACAATAAGCTACATTTAAAGTTTATGCAATGCAGCAGGAAGGCTACAGAACTGCAGTTGCTCAGTTCATTGCAGCATCTCAAAGGGATTTATGTTTTTTTTTGTTTGTTTTTTTTAAAGCTGGATAGTGATTGAAGTACTTGTTCTCATACAAGGCATTTTAGCTGAAGCATATTCTTTTGTTGGAAAGCATTGATGCAATGCAACTTCAAGGGAAAGGTGTGTTTTGCACGTTGCGGCACAGTGCTTGAACAAGGCCAAAGAATTAAAGAAATAGTTCAACCAAAAATGAAAATTTGATTAGAATTTACTCAACCTCAGGCCATCCAAGATGTAGATGAGTTTGTTTCTTCATCAGAACAGATTTGGAGAAATTTAGCATTATGTCACTCGCCCACCAATGGATCCACTGCAGTGAATGGGTGCCGTCAGAATGAGAACCCAAACAGCTGATAAAAACATCACAATAATCGACAATCCACACCACTCCAGTCCATCAGTTAATGTATTGTGAAGCGAAAAGATGTGTTTGCAAGATACAAATCCTTCATTAAGACTTTTTTTACTTAAAATATGAGTCCTCTATCTATAATATTGCTTTCTCCAGTGAAAAAGTTAATCAATCATGTTTGTGGATTTTGATGTGAGAGGACAACAGCAGATGGTCTTTTATACTATAAGTGAAATGATGGATTATGAACTGGTATTTTGACCAGAATTGACTGTTTAAACTTCTTAATGATGGATTTGTTTCTTACAAACACGCAGCTTTTAACTTCACAGGATGTTAACTGATGGGCGGGAGTCGTGTGGATTACTTGTGGATTATTGTGATGTTTTTATCGGCTGCTTGAGCTCTCTCATTCTGACGGCACCCATTCACTGCAGAGGATGCCATGCTGAATGTTCCAAATCGGTTCCAAAAAAGAAACAAACTCATCTATAATTCGGTGAATTCCCAGCAAATTTCACTTTTGAGTGAATTATTCCTCTAAGGTCACATGATATTCCCTGACACCTTGAAAATGTGGATTTGTATTTTTAATGATGGCAATAAAGCTCCGGTAACACTTCATAGTACATTTGAATCAAAAAAGAAGCATCCCTTTTTTCTTGCTTTGTTATTTTTACGTGTTTGGTAGTTGTATTCAAAGTCATAGTAACTGCATTTTAAGTCCGAATAACAAAAATGTTGAACTACATCTTGAAAAATGGAAATGAATGCTTTTAGAATTACATCCGCTGTAATAGTACAAACCAGTATGTGTTTCTGGTACTTTGACCGTGTCAAAGAAAAAGCATATTGTTTTGCTTGTTAATGCGACATTTTTTCAAGGTACACCATCAGGGAGTTTGCAGACAAGACCTTTTTCCTATGTGATATTACAGATGCAAGTAGTGTCAGAAGTTGCATTTGGTTACTGGATGATTTGTTTGCCTTAATGCTCTCCTTTGCCTGTTCACACCTGGTTTAGATTAGCCTAGAACCCAAGTGTTACAAGTTGTTTGGAATTTCATGGGCTCAGTGAACTGTACCTGAAACAAAAAGCTGTAATTAAACGGCATTTCTCATGTTGGGACGTATACGTAATAGTTGTCACTCTTCACAGTGTGATTTTGTAAGTGTTTTGTGTTGAAAGAAATAACTGCACTTTTTGCTTGAACGTAAAATAAGCCTTCAGACTGGGGGGAAAGAAGGTTTTCAAAGGACCCATTAGATATTAAGTTGGATTTCTATTGCCCTTCTGTTGCTATAGAGCAAATAAATTCAATCTGATGCAATCTGTGTGGCCTCGTGTGAAAATCTGTTACTTAGGCCTTCACCACCAGAGGGAGAAAGAGTGGAGCATGTGCTTCTACTTGGGGCTTGTGGGTGATATACAGGTGCTATAAGCGATTGTATTTATTATTTACTCGTTTAGTTATAAAGCTCTGTGTAGTCTAGTGTCTAGCTATTATTATTATGTCCAATTTTATAGCTTTATTCAATGGTTACGGTTTTATTTGTTGTTATATTAGTGTTACAAATATACCGTATTTATGGAATACAATATATAAAACAAACTATATATTATAATCATAAATAATTAATAAAAGAAATTATTTCAAAACAGTGCAGAGTAGCTTCAATGAAATTGTCAGTAAATTCATATTGATAATATTTTCATGCTTATACGTAGTCTAGGCTTCCGTTACCGCAGTCGCATCCTGCTAAGCAGGAGTTTTTGCGCTAACCACAAGAAGATCACTCTTGTATTCCGAGCAAGTTTGTTTTGTTAAAGAAAGCAGAGATTTTCACTCATATGTCTGCCTAATATCTGAAAACTGCATTATGCAAATGAAAAGTAGGCTACCTGTGTGCCGATGCAGCTGTAGCTAGGCTATAAAAGAGCTACAGAAGTGACTTCATCCTGTTTCACACATGATTCACTTCAGTAGGCAAAACACCTAAAAGCATGTGTGTGCACAATATATAACTTAAAATATCACGGGTTTATTTGTGCAATCTACACTCAGGCAAATGGTTTTCAACTGATCCAACACTTTCTAGTGTCTATGTGAGATTTGAAGAAGTTATCGAGATATAGTAAATCAACCTTAAAGAAACAAAAATGAAATTCTAGCCTAGTTAAAACGTTGTAAATGGTGGTGGTCTACACACAGACTGATATTTCTACAAATCAGGATTTTTGTACACCACAGTATAGGCCTCCTTTTTTGTTCAGAAAGCTTTATATAATATATAGACTCACAAAATACTGTAACTCAAAAACTGCTGTGTAAGTTGATAACATGAATTGCACACCCAGTGTAACATAGTGGCTGTTACTTCAGTTAGTTGTGCGTTACTATTATAAACAACACAGAATGTAACCAAATTCAAAGTGTGACCATGTGATGTATAGTCATCCCTGAGACATCAGCAGCAGTTTTTCCATCTCCTGTTGGATCCACGATCATGGAAGACCAAATTCCATCAAGTCATATCAGTAACACCAGCAGAAGGATGTGGTGTGGACCACTACAAACTTATCACACACACACTGGTGACCTCTGTCAAAGAGTAAGCCTTGCTTGGTGGGCAGATTATGAGAAAACGCACACCACAAGCATGTCCTGAAAAATATTCCTCCGTGAAAGCTTAAACAATAGTGAGAAGCTTTGCAGATGGTTTTGGAATTTTTACAAAATATCCTAGTTCATATATACAAAACTTGAACAAATGTGTTCCTTCTGGTAATGGTCACAGGATGGTGCAGCGTTTCTTCTTCTTGCGACGATGTCTTGCTTTAGCTCTGGCCGATAGCGCTCGCTTTGTTGCCTCTCTGAAAATGTCCTCTACGTTTTCTCTATATTTAGCTGAACACTCCAGGTATATCTCAGCGTTCATTTGCTTCTTGATCTCTTCACCCTAAGAAAGAGATATGAAGGTTGGTTACTCAGTAAACATATCTATATCTATATCTATTTATATACATACACACACTATATATACTATTTATATACATACACACACTATATATATATATATATATATATACACACACACATGACAGTAAATTAGTTTACACCAACATATAAAAAATACATAAATATAAAAGTAAAATTAATTAATTAAAAATCTAAATATTTAAAAATATATATATAACTACCATTCAAAATGTTGGGGTTAATAAGTTTATTTATTTTATTTTATTTTATGAAATTAATACTTTTATTCAACAGGGATGCATTAAATTAATCAAAAGTGACAGTAAAGACATTTATAATGTTACAAAGAACAAATTTCTATTTCAAATAAATGCTGTTCTTTTTTACTTTTTTTTTTTAAGTAACATGGTTTCCACAAAAATATTAAGTAGCACAACTGTTTTGAACACTGAATGTGTGTGTGTAGATAGATAGATAGATAGATAGATAGATAGATAGAAAAAGTAACAGTTTCCACAAAAATATTAAGCAGCATAACTGTTTTCACATTGAATATATTTAATATATAGTAGCATTAAAAATAGCAAACTTAACCCAATATGACTTGTATTTGAGACTGAGGGCTTGTGATGTTCTTTATTTTGTAAGTCGAATGTCTGCCAGATGAATGAATGTAAATGTAAAGCCAACCTGGAGGTAGGTGATGGGCACCAGATCTAAAGCTTTGAGCTTCCTCATCTTCTCTTTGTCCTTTCGCAGGTCCGTCTTGCACCCTATCAAGACAATGGGGACGTCACGGCAGAAATGACGGACCTCTGGGTACCACTGTAGGGGAAGATGAAAAAAAAAAAGTTTAAAACTGAACTTCTTCTTTTATATAAATACTTTTTCTGGTCTTCCTTAATGCCGTAATGGTGTACTGTATCTATCTTTAGGCCATGAATGAACAGTTTGCTGTGTCTTTATTTAAACAGGGCTCAACACATTCCTCTGAACTGACACGACAGGAAGCTTAAAATAAATACTGTTTCTTTTCAGAGGTGGTCCATCTGTAATCATCTACTGTTCAGGTCAAAGTTTATCAGCTCACAGTTGCTAACAAACAAAGTTAAAACAGACTTTCACCTGATGAACACTTCGGTTTCATACTCAACTGAAGGCAAATGATTTCACCTTTATCGTGACATTGTCGAACGACGTCGGATTGGTCACATCGTAGCAGATGAGAACAAGGTTTACTTCTTGATACGACAGAGGCCTCAAGCGGTCATAGTCCTCTTGGCCTGTCAATAAACAGATTAGAAGGAAATGACGTCATTTTAATCACACTGATACCTGAAAACAGCGCTGCATTATGTGGACTGTTTCTATGGCGACGCTTCTAAACAAGTCATTGAAGCCGAGGAGGTGGAGACCTCTGACCATATACAGCATCTTCCTGTGTCGTATTTTATGAACAAAGTATTTTGACGAAAAACCGAGATGTGGTAGAAAACCACATCCTGGCTTCAACATCCTGTTCCTGAGACGCACAGAAGGTCCGTGCAGCAGTGTGGGTCTGATAAGCAGCTTGATTACTAAAGATGCAGTTCAATTTAGACAAAAGAGACATTTCGAAGAATTTCTCATGGAGAAATTCAAGTTATATAGACATCAGGGGTTCACCGAGGTCAGTGACAGTAAATGAGTAAATGACGATTAAATCAATACGAGAACATTCCAAATAAGGTATAAAATGTCTGATGATCAGTGTGACTAATAAAAATAAAACTTCCTTTTTCTATGACAATATATTCACTGTAAAAATATACTAACAATGTAAAAATATATCCTAGTTCCTGAATGTACAGTTCTGAAATGTTTGAACTATAAACAAACTAGAACATGACTAACTCAAATATCTCATTTCAATCAATTTGAGGCTTCAAAACAACTAGAACCGTTTTTTTCTGTAATAATATCTTTGTATATATATACATATAACAAAACAAAACTACTGTTTAAAAGTTTGGGGTCGGTAAGATTTTGTATCTTTTTGAAAAAAGTATTTTATGGTCACCAAGGCTGCATTCATTAAATCTAAAAATACATTAAAAACAGTAAAAATTTTGAAATATTATTATGATTTAAAATAACAATTTTCTATTTGAATATGTTTTAAAATGTAATTTATTTCACCTGATGAACACTTCGGTTTCATACTCAACTGAAGGCAAATGATTTCACCTTTATCGTGACATTGTCGAACGACGTCGGATTGGTCACATCGTAGCAGATGAGAACAAGGTTTACTTCTTGATACGACAGAGGCCTCAAGCGGTCATAGTCCTCTTGGCCTGTCAATAAACAGATTAGAAGGAAATGACGTCATTTTAATCACACTGATACCTGAAAACAGCGCTGCATTATGTGGACTGTTTCTATGGCGACGCTTCTAAACAAGTCATTGAAGCCGAGGAGGTGGAGACCTCTGACCATATACAGCATCTTCCTGTGTCGTATTTTATGAACAAAGTATTTTGACGAAAAACCGAGATGTGGTAGAAAACCACATCCTGGCTTCAACATCCTGTTCCTGAGACGCACAGAAGGTCCGTGCAGCAGTGTGGGTCTGATAAGCAGCTTGATTACTAAAGATGCAGTTCAATTTAGACAAAAGAGACATTTCGAAGAATTTCTCATGGAGAAATTCAAGTTATATAGACATCAGGGGTTCACCGAGGTCAGTGACAGTAAATGAGTAAATGACGATTAAATCAATACGAGAACATTCCAAATAAGGTATAAAATGTCTGATGATCAGTGTGACTAATAAAAATAAAACTTCCTTTTTCTATGACAATATATTCACTGTAAAAATATACTAACAATGTAAAAATATATCCTAGTTCCTGAATGTACAGTTCTGAAATGTTTGAACTATAAACAAACTAGAACATGACTAACTCAAATATCTCATTTCAATCAATTTGAGGCTTCAAAACAACTAGAACCGTTTTTTTCTGTAATAATATCTTTGTATATATATACATATAACAAAACAAAACTACTGTTTAAAAGTTTGGGGTCGGTAAGATTTTGTATCTTTTTGAAAAAAGTATTTTATGGTCACCAAGGCTGCATTCATTAAATCTAAAAATACATTAAAAACAGTAAAAATTTTGAAATATTATTATGATTTAAAATAACAATTTTCTATTTGAATATGTTTTAAAATGTAATTTATTCCTGTGATGCAAAGCTGAATTTTCAGCATCATTACTTCAGTCTCCAGTGTCACATGATCAGATGTCAAATGTTAAAAACAGTAAGGGATGCTGAATTTTTTATTTTTTTTTGTGGAAGCCATAATACTTTGTTTTCAGGATTTTTTTTTGATGAATAGAAAGTTCAAAAGAACAGAATTTATTTGAAAAAGAAATATTTTATAACATTAGAAATGTCTTTGTCACTTTTGATCAATTTAATGCATCCTTGCTGAATAAATACTCGCTCAAAAAATAAATCACACCGACCCTAAACTTTTGAACATTAGTGTAAATGATAATCAAAGTATTCAATTTAAATAACTAATTCAATTCTGAAAAAATTTAAAAACATGCAGTATTCATCCACAAATGTAACAACTGCGTTACAAATTGAGTAGTGGCTTTTAGCATGTTGCACCACATCCGCAGACACAGCTTAAAAACTGGGGTGATATTTAGAATATGAATATTTCACAATGGCTAACATGTCATTTATTTCACTGTAATATTCTGGAAGTAATTCATACAGTATGGTCTTAGATGTCAATGAATGAGGACAGAAATCTTGCACAAATTTTTTTTTTTGCAAAATAATTCAAAATGAAATTGAACACAATGCCAAAGGGATTTTTTTATTTTTTATTATTTAGATAATCATGCAATGATCAAAGTGTGTATGCGGCCTGACCTCAGGGATGACAACTTAGAAAACTATTACTAATGGTTTCACACCCATTTCACTCAACATTCCTGCCTAAATAGTTAATCAATGAAGCAGGTCACTGTAGAGAATGGGGTGTTTGGAATCTGAGGTGTGTGTGGCGTCTGTAGACACTTACCTGCTGTATCATAGAGATTCAGCTGAATGTCTTTCCCTCCATAGGATACAGTGGTGACATATTTGTCGAACACAGATGGAGCATATTTCTGTTGATTTTCAACATAAAATTAGACAAATACAGGCATACAATGGATGATGGTGCATAAAATTTCAGGTTTCTACAAGACACATTTGAAGTACAATCAAGGCGTTGGCAGAAACCAAAATTGCTGTCTGGGAGTGGAAAAACTGGCTGAGGATGTTGTGCAAATGACTCTTATACATTTTGCAATGTTTCCTTCTCTTAAAAATGGTTATTTCTGTAACTATCTTCACAACTAAAGTAAATCTGGTTTACTTACACACACAAAAAACTAAAGCAAATTTGTACTTTGCCAACCTAAAACCCCTCATCATCTAAAAGCTTACCTCTGGGAAATCTCCTTTGGCGTACACCATAAGCAGGGATGTTTTCCCACAGCCCCCATCTCCGACGATCACAATTTTGAGAGAATCAGTCTGAGTGCCATTCTGTGTCATGTCCTTTTGCGGGCCTCACCGGCCAATTCAGTTCCTCCAACAGGTGCCCAAGTGCACAGAAGTGTCAGGTAAATTCATTGGTGCGAGTGGCGGGTGAGTATAACGTGAGACGAACACTCTGCCAGGTCAGCATGCTGCTATCCGGTCCCAACTTCCTCCTCCTCTCTCCTTTTTTTCGTTTCAAACCATGTGACTATGTTTTCAAGAACCCCTGATCAGGCGTGTGACTGTAATTGAGGCTGTGTGACTCTTTTCTATGCTCGTCTACACATGGTCTGCACCATCACTAGGCGGGGTACATGAAGGCACTCCCTCCAGCCGGTCAGGAGAGTTGACTTCCTAACTACATGTTAATTGAGACAGTCCTTTGAAAAGTTTCTCACATTCTCCCATCTACAGAGGGTGGAGCGGGACAGGAGGTTGCTCTGAATGGTATGCTTAAGATGATATTAGAAAAAACATCATTGCAGTGATTATTTTAGCAATTTGTTGATAATTAAGTGAATTATGTAAGAGTGTGACTTTGTTACTAATAACAATTACATAACTAAAAGTGTTATTAATTGTATTACTAGATTTACCCACCTATTACACGTGTTAGGCTATTTTAGTATCATTCACATGTTTTATATATTTTGATTATAGTTTTTATTTTCCTTTCAAGAACTAAATAAAAGCTAACATAGGTTATATGATTAATGGCGAAGCTGAATGTCGAAATTTGTCGAGGATCCACTCCAGCTGTCCAGAGCACAAATGAAGCTTTACGCACACGTCTGCATATCTGGTAACAAACAAAAAGACTAGAAGATGATAACACTGGTATCGACTGAGATCTCTGCACTTCTTTTCTGCCCTTCTATCCTCGCGTTAGAAACAAGGCTGATGAAATCAAGATTTAGATCCCTTTAGGAACAAAGGAAACCCATTTTGGCCATTGAGTTCCAATGTAGGAGAAAATGGCTGCGCCTGCGTTCAGCCTTCTTTCTGCTCTCTGTAGAAAGAACTGAAGGCTGTGCTTCTAATAGCTGAATCTACCATGGTGCTTCAATCTGATTGGCCAGAGAGGGAACTGCTGTTAACCAGCCAATTGCCCAAGCACCCAGAATATCAAACAATGTTGGGAATGGTGGAATTGAGAAATGTATCACAACTAGTATTAGTACAAAACATTAGAAGTTTAAACACAAAAATCACCACTTTTATTTTTTGTTTACATAAGATGGACCCTCGTGAAAGTTCATTTTACTGACGCATTCTAAATGCAAGACAAAAAAATATTCAGGAATAAATGTTTAAATTAAAACAGAAACGCAGAACGTTTCTACACCAAATCATTTGGGCTTTCGGCGCGTGTCCCAATTCAGTTTTAACAACCTTCCCCAGCGTTGCTCCTCCATGTCCATCTTGTATTTAACGTCCATGTAAATCTATAGTGCAGATTCAACGCGTTCGAAACGTTGGTTTTCTGCTCGAAATTCAAGATATGTTCACTTCCTACTCGTTTATCGCACATAACCAGACTTGTATGTGTTTTTGACGGTCACACAAAATTCTGCTTTAGCGTAACAATTAAAAACAATAAATCGAAAGTGCGTGTCGAATGTGCCGGAAGGTTGAGGTAGTGGTGTATTGTGGGAGAGACAGAAACCCCAGACTAGAGGCACACAATATGTGTTGGCTCGCAAAAAGGAGGCAGTATCTTTAAAATCATGTAATGTGATCGGTGAAAGGTTCAAGATCTAGCCGTTTTATATACAACTACTCGATCGGGCACAAAATGTCCAGACCTGGAGAAAGAAATAAGCTAAATGAAGATCACGGTAGAAGACAGAGTTCAAGTAAGCTTTCTCTTTTTTTTTTCTTCCTCTGTAATGTCTGTTTCGGGCACCGCTTCAAACCCCCCATTTTCTACAACGTACTGTTTGTGTGCAAAAATCAACCTTTGCCATGTCAGGATTATGAAGCGTACTTTCTGTTTTTGTCATCTCTTCGTTAGGTTTGGCGAACGGAATGGAGAACAGCCATCCTATCTGCAGTTCGGGAGAGAAACGAAGTCATTGGAGAAGTTACAAGTTGATTATTGACCCAGCGTTAAAAAAGGGATCGCACAAACTGTATCGCTACGATGGACAGAACTTCAGCGTGCCGGTGAGCGAAACGAGCCGTTACAACGGCCAGAACCGGACACATCGACCCGCGTATTGAATGGATATAACACACTCGCGTTGTAAACACCTGACACAGCACATCAAAGAGTTTCACCGTTGCCAAACTTTCACGACTGACCACTCGTTTGAAAACTAAACTAGTGAGAGACGAGCTCTCGTTGTACCGCATCAGTTCTGGTGACAGTGACATGCCCGGTTTGAGTGTGCTGGCTGTGTAAAGTACACTTCCTCGCGTAAAGTGTTTATAAATGTGCTTGTTTTGTTTGCAGAACCCCGGAATGCCACCCGTGGACATCGTCCGAGACCCGAGAATCAGTCGTCTGTGGACTAAGTACAAGGAGACTGATCTCCCGGTTCCTAAATTTAAGGTAGTTCAGTCACACCCCCTTGACACATGTGTGCATTTTTTTTAAGTATCCGACTGCAGGACGTTTGACGTTCACTCAACGCTTCATATACATCTAACGTATTGCTTGCTTTTGAATTCAAAAACAAGTGATTTAACGTTCTGTTTTCAGCTATACTAGAGGCACGTGCAAACAGTTCAAACAGGGCAGCAGATAACGGTCGGTCCGTTTTGAAGTAACGTCAAACAAACATTCTGTTTCAAAGCATCGTTTCGCTTTTCCTCAGATCGATGAGTGTTACATCGGTCGCGTGCCCCCGAAGGAGGTCACGTTCGCCAAGCTCAACGACAACGTCAGAGAGGGATTCCTCACCGACATGTGCAAGAAGTTCGGCGATATTGAGGAGGTGGAAATTCTGTACAATCCGAAGAACAAAAAACATCTCGGAATTGCTAAAGTTGTATTCGGAACCGTCAAGGCGGCGAAGGATGCTGTCCAGAACTTGAACAACACGTCTGTCATGGGCAACATCATCCACGTGGAGTTGGACCCTAAAGGTAAGGATGAAATATGTGTTAAAATACTAAACTGGACATTTATAGCTTTAATATTAAATGAGGAATGTCGTCTGACCGAGTTACACTAAAATACCTCACGTGTTTGTATATTTGAATAGATTGTTTGTGACATGAAGTCACGTGCGAAAATTTACGTTGGTTGCTTGGTAACCATTAAACTACAAATCAGAGGGATTAACTGATGTGTTTGCTTTGACGTTTTCCGTGAAACGGAAGCATTTTAACTATTAGTTAGATATTTAGCTATAGTTTAAAGCAAAATTGTTTAACCTCTAAAATATGTATGCAAGTACTGAGATGAAAAATGTATGTTTAAAAAAAATAGGAGGTGGTTAACCACGACTAAAGCGTAATTGTTGTACAAATTAAAATACTGGTAATGTTAAACCCTTAAGTTCGACTATTTATTGAAGGACAAACACACTAAACCGTCATTAACCTTTGTAAAAGTGAGATCCTCAAGGCAGGATGACAGCTGTATTGGGTCTCCCCTCTCTTAAAGAGACAGTACCGTTTCATCTGTTCTCGTCAGTGACTTGAATGCAAAGCGCATGAATTTCATGCATTATACTGTCATTTTCTTATTTAAAAACACAATAGTGTCATTATTCAGTTCAATTTAGTTCAGTGTTGATTCAGTTTAGTTCATTTTACAGCTGCACAAACAGTTCTTTTGAAATATCCCTTCTTTGAAGTATTGATTCAGTTTGTTCAGATGGAATGAACTGATTTGTAGGCCTCAATGATTCAGTTATTTAGTTTTTGAAATTAATTAATATATTTTTGAAGCTTAAGCGACATACACCGGTATTGCGGTATTTTAAAAATTAATATCATAACAAAAATAAACACCGGTATTCGGTATGAACCGGTATACTGCCCAGCACTAAGTATAAATGTTGCAAAGTTCTTTATATACAATTTTAGCACCTCTAAAAACACAATAGTGTCATTATTCAGTTCAATTTAGTTCAGTGTTGATTCAGTTTAGTTCATTTTACAGCTGCACAAACAGCCAGATTGCAAAAATAAATCATGTTGTCTGATATTTTACCATAGTATTTATAAATACAGTGACTTTTTTTTAAGATGTTGCCTTCTAAATTTCTTTAGTGTAGTTTGCTACTATTGGCTATTAGTTCGTAGTGTATCTAACTTCTCAAAGGCTTCTGATGTGGTGTTAAATATGATATTTTGAGTTGTTGTATGGAGGGTTGCAGGACCCAGGAGGAATGTAAGAGGCAACTGCACTCATCTTCCTTTAAGGAGGCCCTCTACTTTCCCTTTTGTTTCACATTTTAGCAGTATAAGAAATTGTGCAATCTGCCAAAACATGTTTTAGCATTTTTTTTCCTTCAAAATATCCAAGCATGTTTTTTTTTCTTAATTTCATTTAGATCTCCGTATGCTTTGTGGGGCTTGTTTAAACCCATAGGTCTAGCCAGGAGACTTCTTGGCATCACTGGTCATTTCCTTGTGTGCTTGAGATTTTGCAACTCAACTGTTTGTAACATTTCAGGAGCATGTTGAAAAATAGAAAGTTTAGCCTGGTAGTTTAAGTGCTACATGTTAATCTGTAAAAAAATAGGCTAAGCATTGCATTCCATAGAAAATCCAAGAATATTGGGCGTCTGCAGTAAGGACATACGTGTTCAGTGCATAATGAGGCTCTCTCTTGTAAATTAACTTGTTTGCATTACAGCCTCCAGCTCTGTATGGCAAACCCAATGAAATATTATCCTACTGTGGATGCCGCTTATGTGCAACACTCTTTCACTTCCTCTTACACGTAGTTCAAGACGAGAAACAATGAACAGCCGTTGGCTCACTTTTGCGCTTTACTTCCTGCTTGAAAGCTGGACCATCAGGAAAGTGCTGTTCTTATTGAATCTCCAAAACCATAGTTCAACAAGAGCTGTGTCATATGTGAAAGTGTTTGGGTTCCTACATTCAAGCATCTTACAATGATTGTTTCAAGAGAATATTATTACTGTTGCTTAGGGTTAGTGATTTAAGGAGACTAAAAATACAATTTTGATGCATAACTAGTCCTGTATCATTTGTGCTGTGAACAAGTCATGCAGTTTATTGAGAAGAGGTATGATAAGACTTTTCTAGGTGATCTGATTTACAATTTTCATCTGCCGCATAATCCCAATTCTATTGAAAAGGGGTCCACACGCACTGGCAAATTTTGCACGCTAGTTTTAAGACCTTTAAACAATTATTTAATTCATTATTAGAAAACAAACATCTTAAGTAGTGCTACTTTTGCTTTATTTAAAAAAAATGTAGTGTGTTTGTCACAGTGTTTACTGAAATAAAGCTGAAGTAAATAAAAAACTGTAATATTAGATGACAAACCTAAACTTAAAATAACATAAATGAAAATTAGAAATGTTGCCTTTGCAACTAAATGAAATAAATGTTCTTTTACAAAAACTAAAACTGAAATCATTAAAGATAATAAATGATATTGAAATAAATAAAATGATAAAAGCATTTAACAAAATGACCAAAACTAAAAATAAACTGAAAATATAAAAATAAAAGCTAATTATAAATATTAATAAATATGTAAATAATACTAAAATAACACTTACTTGTAACTTAATTGATCAAATACTCAATATTATGCTCACTAAGAGCAATAGAACTTCATTAGAACTTTATGTCTAGATCAAGTTAAAAGGGGGGGGAAAAAATAAGAAATTGATCTGTTCGTTGTTGCACAAGGCCAAAGGCAATACAGGCCAATAGATAGTGTTTATCTCTGCATTTGCTTTGTAAGTGACTAGTTTGTGCTCTAATGCAACAGATGTTTGCTATTTTATTTATTTATTTATTTTTTTTAACACAGGGCCATCAGTCATCAGGTGAAGACATGGAGATTTCCGATGATGAGATGCCTGGCACACCGATTGCTAGTGGGGATTGTGAAAGCATTGTGGTCAACTCTGCAATGTCTCCAATGCAGACCATTCCCATGCACCCGCCAGGGTTCCCCCCACTGCCTCCTCCACAGGCTGGCTTCCCCCTGCCGCTGCCTCCTCTTCCAACCGTACCGCACCTGGCTGGCCCACCTGGCGTGGCCCCCCATCCGATGCTACACGCGTTGCACCCTTATCCCCCTGGCATGATGCCCATTATGCAGATGGACCTGATGAGCTCCTTACCACAGTGGGGAAGCGTTCACATGTCCTTCCAGATGCAGACTCAGATGTTAAGTCGCATGGCGCAGAGCCAGCGGCCGTACCCTTACCCTCACTTCATCAGTGGGGCTGCTGCAAGCGCCAGCGCTGCTGCCGCCGCTGCTGCCATGCAGTTTGGGGGCCCGTATCCACCTTTGTCTATGGTTGGTGCGCCTGCAAGCACTGTGGGTCAGGGGCAGCCCTGGCACCTACCCAACATGCCCAAGTTCAACCCTGCTGTTCCCCCTCCAGGCTATGAGCCCCAAAAGGAAGACCCACACAAAGCCACTGTGGATGCAGTGCTTACGCTTATTGTCAAGGAGCTGAAGTCCATTATGAAAAGAGATCTCAACCGCAAGATGGTGGAGGTGGTGGCCTTCAGGGCATTTGATGAGTGGTGGGACAAACAGGAGCGTTCGGCTAAGGTAAGCGCCATTCTACAAAACCAGGCCTGTTTTAAATGTTACATGATACTCGTTGCTGAATATGTAAATACTTCTCGAAATGAATAATAACAAATGCAGCAAATTTGCTTTTCAAGCTATTTAAGTCGTGCCAGATACAAAATCACTGTCAAGTTGATAGGTAACTTTCATAAATATAATTTCCCTTTAAATGGCTTCTTGTTCAACACTCCAAATAGAGTACATCATGGTACATTCATCCTAAATGATTCTGAACTGCACTGACATAATGCAAAATGAAGTGCGGCAAACCCAACTCTGATTCAAGAATGTTATTAGTGTCATGTCTGTGTTTGATCCAAACAGTGTTTTAGCTTTCAATAATAATGCTGTTCCAAAATGTTAATTTAAACTTTTAAATACCCAGTTATTACATTTATTCTGACAAGCAAATATTTTTAATAATATTATAATTGTATCAAGTCAATATAGTAATATTTATACATTTCCTAAAACCTTCCTGGGATGGGTTGATAAATTGATATTTAATCTGTTGGTCTTTTGGAGCGGATAGTAGTAGACTAACTTGGACCGCTTAAAATTATCCCTAACTTATCTTATCTTACTCTAAATTAAATGTTAGCTGATTCCAGACCTGAATGTTCCAAAGAGTTTTGGAACAATTAGTCAAAAAGAAAACCCCAGTTTATTAACCTGAGGTCATGTAATTATACTAACAGAATTATCTGTCGTCATCATGTTTCTGCACCTGCAGGCTACACTTACACCTGTGAAGACCGGTGAGGGCAAAGATGATGAAAAAGAACGGGCCAAACCCAAAGAGACCATATCCTCTAGCTTACTGGAAAACTGGAACAAGGTTGAAGGTCTGGGATTCGAGGGAATAGGTCTCAGCATAGGCCTGCGCGGTGCCATCCGGTTGCCATCCTTCAAGGTACCAAACTATCACCAGGTGTTTTTGTTAATTTGCTGTTATACTTTAAAAGTTGCTCATTATCAATTGCTACTCATTTGTTTGCAGGTTAAGAGGAAACAGCCCCCTGAGCCAACATCTACCAATGACAATAAGAGGGTGCGACCATCCACACCTGTCGATGATGAGCTGGAAGATGAAGGTGTGTGCTTGACATACTTGCCCAGTTAATCAGATTTCTGTTCTATAAACTGAAACATGGACCACTTATTCAAACTGAAAAACTGTTGGCTTTAAAGTGACAATGCTTTACATGGTCTCATGCCATTTCTGTAAACTAACTTGGTAAGGTCGGTTCTCAGAATCAGAAAGAACAGATCTTCGCACAGACGGATCCAGAACGGATGGCGGTGGTTCTTCTGCCAAGCGAAGGCCAGCCAGACCTCTGGAGCTGGACAGCGAAGGCGAGGAGGAGGAGGAAACCTCTGGCAAAGAGGAGTCATCACCTTCAGATCATGAAGAGGAGGCAGTAGAAGATGCCTCTGAGAGGTTGTCCTCTGGCACGGTGAGCACCAGTCCACAGTATTTCTTAATGAACCTTAATCAAGTGTAGGTATCAGGCTCTATGTACAATGTACTATGTACTTATTTGAGCCTAATATAGACATGCCTTCTTAGGTTATGGAGGACGAGGAAGATGATGAAAAGAAGAGCAAATCAGACTCCAGCGAGAGTGAATCATCTGACTCATCAGATGATGGTAATGAGTTTAATGGCTTGAGGTTGATAAATATTGTGCCCTTGTGGTCACTGTAATTGGCCTGAGGTATTGACCTTCACTATTTCCCCCCCAGAATCTTCTAGCTTATCATCCTCCTCCAAATCTGATTCTGATTCCTCTGGGAGCGAGAGCTCGTCCGACTACGAATCGAGTTCAGGGGAGGAAGAGGAGGAAGAAGAAGAACAGGTAGAGGGTATGGAGAATGAAGATGAAGCCGATGCACAAACCTCATCGTCGTCCTCATCTTCCACATCCTCATCTTCTGAAGAGGAGGATGTTGATGTAAAAGCTCCCAGTACCCCCACAGGACCACCACCAGAAGAGGAACCAAATGAGTTGGGCAGGCTGGAAGCGTTAGATGAGGCAGAGATCGATCACAAACATACTGCGGTGAGCTCAATCAAGCCTGGAGTTGAAGACGTGTGGCCCCCATCACCCAAAAGATTGCCAGGTCAGAGTCTTGACTGTTTTTTAGCCTGATGTTCCTGTAGCAGTTGAGTATTCTGTGTTCAAGTCACATCATAATTGGTTGTCATCTCTTTTCAGCTGATGAACCCGACATTGATTTGGCCGTCAGTATTCCAGTGTCCAAAGCTAAAGCTACCCTGGAGGATGTCGGTAGCTTGCGGCCACCCACTCCAACAGGTTTGTTTGCAGACAGTGATCAGGACACCCAACCAAAGATCCCTGCAGAAGACTTTCGCCGAACCCCTGGTCGTGATGGCCCAGTTTCCTTAGAATCAGAAGCTGCAATCCCTCGTTCTCTTCCTACGCCCTCAATGCACCTTCCATTTCCCCCCAATCATGCCCTCGAAGCTCGATCCCTTCTGCCGCCTCCTGAAGCTTTGCCGGATATGCCTGTCCGTGGGCGGTTGCCTACGGAAGAGGACATCCCACGCACACCAGGGAGAGATCTTATGGACAGACCCCGGGGTTTGGGCAAGTCTCAGAGCACTGATGCATTTCCTGTCACACCAGGAAGCGACACACCGCTAACAGGTAACAGCTTGAGCTCGCCGCATATTCCCGGCAGCCCTTTCTCTTATCCTGCTCAATCCCCTGTCCTCAGCGCTGGTATCCCTCGGACTCCGGGTAGAGATCTTACTTTCACCCCAGCTTTCCCTGACTCTGCTGCTTTATCTGCAGGCCTTCCCATTCACAGGAAGGCCTCGTCGGAGAGCTTGGAGGAGAAGTCTCTCTTTAAAGAGCCTCTACTCAGCGCCTCTCCTCATGCCAGCCTACCTAACAATGCCATTTCTTCCCCATTCCCTGGTCCTCCCCTTCCTGCTGCTTCACTTCAGGAGCCACCTCTGCCTCCCCAAGGCTCCTCTCCCACTTCTGTAGAGACTTCCTCTTCTGCTGCTCCAAAAGACCTACCTGTTCCAATGATAGATGTTCCTGTGCCCTTAGATGCTACTCCAAGTAAAAGGAAACCGGGGCGCCCCAAGTCTAAAAAGGTACCTGTGGCCACCCCTCCAGATTCTGAAGAGCCTCCAGCTCCAATGGTGGACTCTTTACCTCCAGATCTACCGGTAAACGACCTGTACCCAGACCACCCTTCAGAGACCTTCAAAGGAGAAGATGGTGACTCCACAGTCTTGGAGGAAGAGGAAAACCAATCCCAGACAGTCATACCTGAGGTGGAAGACAAGTTGCTTTACGTCGAGGAACCTATTCAGAAGACGCGCCGACAGAGACGGGGCTGGCAAGAGTTGTTGTTATCCATGCACTCCCCTGTGATATCACCGCCCCGCCCCAGCTTCCTACCCCGCTCAGAATTTGAGGAGATGACCATCTTATATGACATCTGGAATGACGGCATTGATGAGGAGGACATCTGCTACCTTAAGATAACTTATGACAAAATGCTGCAGCAGGACAATGGCAACGACTGGCTCAATGACACCCTCTGGGTCCACCATCCTCATATCCTTTACTGCTACAATGTTAAGGTGCAGTCACATTAGTGAAATTTAGCAGACAAAAAAGATCCATTGTCTTTTATCAATGATAATGACTTTTTAAGTGTAAAATCCTATTAAAGGGGTCATATGATGCAATTTCATTTTTTCCTTTCTCTTTGGAGTGTTACAAGCTCTTGGTGCATAAAGAAGATCTGTAAAGTTGCAAAGATAGCTGGCTAATCAGAGCACACCTCGCTTTTCAGACCGATTAGTTTTGTAAAAATCGACGCGTTTCAGAAGGCGGGGCATACAGGAGAAACAATAATGTACAGTATGTGGAAAATAATGTTTTTTTTTAACTTTAAACCGCATAAACACATTTCATTACACCAAATACACAAAATAATGTTCTTTTTAGCAGCATCATATGACCCCTTTAAAGTGGCTGTTGGTAACATCTGTGACCCTAGTGGCAGCAAATGGAATTAAATTATAATAAACAATGGAAGATTTGGGGGAGTGTTTGGCAGAGTCATTTAGTTCCTTTTGCAATTTAGTTTGATGCCACTAGGTGTGAAGAAATGATGCCCCTTGTGGCTCCAAATGGAATAGCGGAATTGAATTGCAGTTCTTTGGTTGATGTTGAAAAATAGAACCCCAGTGTTGGGCTGCACGATAAATCGCATGCGATATTTAATGCGCGTCTTGTTAGTAAAGTCGGTTCTGTAATTAGCGGTAAACTGACAAGCTGCGCTAAACCATGTTCATATATGATCATGGTTTAGCGCAGCTTGTCGGTGAACAACGGCTCTGTGTAGTTAACGCGGCTCCATGTGAAAGCCCGCACGTGATGGAGATTTACCGCTGATTACAGAACCTGCTTTACTGACAAGATGCACATTAAATATCGCATACGATTTATCGTGCAGCCCTACCCCAGTGTTCACATTTTTGGGACCGTCTTACTCATTGACAGTATTGTGATAAAAAAAATAATTACATCCACTAAAATGAATTGCTAGTATTTGCAGACCTCTAATGTGGAGACGTATCTGTTCATGTAAAGAAAGCTGTATTTTCTTGACTCCTCTGAACCTACCAACATGGGCAGCACATCAGGGCTGAAGAAGAAGCGGAAAGAGGATGGTATACGCGACCATGTCACCGGCTGCGCCCGCAGCGAGGGCTACTACAAAATCGACAAGAAAGACAAAATGAAGTACTTGAACAGCTCACGCCTGCAGTCCGAAGAGCCTGATGTGGACACTCAGGTGGGCCGCAGTGATAAAATACTGGAGTTTACTCACAATCAATACTTCATTAAGCTGGTTTGCTGAAGGTTTTGATGTTGATTGTGTTTGTGTGTGATTTCTCACAGGGGAAGAGTATTCCAGCACAGCCCCAAGCGTCCACTAGGGCAGGTTCAGAGCGGCGGTCTGAACAGCGCCGCCTGCTGTCATCCTTCAGCTGCGACAGTGACCTCCTCAAGTTCAACCAGCTCAAGGTAAGACAAGCGAAACCCAGCTATTCATATCTTGCATATCCTGCAAAACATCACCAATCAAATTATGAGCCAAGTCAAAATCTTAATGATTCACAACTTCTACACAGTTCCGTAAAAAGAAAATCCGGTTCTGTAAAAGTCACATTCATGACTGGGGATTGTTCGCCATGGAACCTATTGCTGCCGATGAGATGGTTATCGAATACGTTGGCCAGAATATCCGACAGGTGAGCGTGAAGCTAACCAAACTTTCAGCATCACTGCTTTTTGGCCGGTCTGTTCGTAATTTCCCCATCTCTTTGCAGGTTATCGCAGACATGCGAGAGAAGCGCTATGAGGAAAAGGGCATCGGCAGTAGCTACATGTTCCGTGTGGATCACGATACCATTATAGATGCAACCAAATGTGGCAACTTCGCCCGCTTCATCAATCACAGTTGTAATGTGAGTTTGCTTGTACGTTTTTTAACAAAAGGTCAATTTGAAGGCAAAAACCATATTAATGGTGTCCTACTTTGTGTTTCCCAGCCAAACTGTTACGCCAAGGTCATCACTGTGGAGTCACAGAAAAAGATCGTCATCTACTCCCGGCAGCCAATAAATGTTAACGAGGAGATCACCTACGACTACAAGTTCCCCATCGAGGACGAGAAGATACCGTGCCTCTGTGGTGCAGAAAACTGCAGGGGAACCTTAAACTAACCCCCAACGTATAGGTGAGAACTATTTTAAAAACATGCACTGCCCATCAACAAGCCCAGACGCCCCATCTTCTGGAGCTACAGAGGAAATAGTGGGTGAAATCCAACACATCCACTGGATATATCGTGCAGCTAAGTGTCTGGGACTTCGTTTTTGTACTTTTTCATGATTGTTTACGAATTACAGGTGCTCTTTCAAGCATAAAAATGAGTTTTCTACCACTCTTCCATTGACCTCTTTGGAAATGGACTTATTTTCCCCCCAAAATATTTGGGCACTCACTTTGTTGTCTGCCCATTTGGCACAGTTTGTCTTTGCCGTGGAGCTCCTGCTCCTCGTCAGTCCCCTTCTGTTCTGCAGTTTGGTTATGGAGAGACCTCCCCGTCCCTGAACTTGGACCCCAAACACTTTAAGCTGCTCACGTCTGTCCCACAGACACAAAATTCAGTTTTAATTCAGTTTTGTTCTCCCAGCCCAACTTGCAAGTTTAGTTTATTTTTGGACTTCACTGTAACATGCCCACAAGGTTTAGCATTTATTGTGACACTAACCATTGTTGGGGGAATTGGGTCAATTGTCTTCAGTTTGCAGAACATTCAACAAAAGCACAACCTGCGCCGGCCACAAAACAAATCAGTAGAAAAGGTCCACAGCTCAGGCAAATTTACACAAAGCGAAACGCTCCTACGATATTTCAGCCAGCGCTGCATGTGGCACCTACTGACTGGACCTTTCTTAAAGGATAAAAGCAAATTAAACAATACACTACACTTTCTTTCATTTATTCAAGCCATTTTTACAACCATTTCTGCGATCTTTGGATTTGAGCGTGTCTGCTGCCCTCTAGCTTTTGTAAGGTGCAAAGACCGAAAGCTGCTTGTCTTCAATCAGATTCCACTTTAAAGTTGTACAGCTTAGTATTAACTCTGCGTTTGTCATGTCAGCTCACTATTTCAGCAGATAAACATGCAGAGGTCCAATTGGGTTCATGCATATTCAGTCACTAATGCTGAATTTTCTATTATGGAGCGAATCTCACCAATATGATGCTGCTATTCTGCAAACGTATGTTCCTAATTTTCTCCACCAGTTCACTTTAAGATGGCGAAATCCACCTGCACTGGTTTCAGCATGGGTTTTCATAGTATTTGGAGTTCTCTGTGAGTGCGGTAACTGGCGCACAGCACTGATGCTTTTCAAAAAGGTTGCCCAGGCACCAATTCAACTAATAAATCTAGTCTAAGTAGATGCACCGATGTTTAGGATATCAGACCCTGGAGTATTAGGTCCGTCGATCTGAAACCATCAGCAGTGGACCCAGAAAATCAAGTATAAGTTGAATAGAGTGCCAAATATGTACTTTAATGTGTCACGGCTCTAAAGGCAAACCCTCTTCCATTTGTCTCCTCCTATGTGTGTGTGTACGAATGACTTAAGTTCACTGGTACTTCGGGCGACCCATTTGAGGTCCTGCATTTTGCTCAGTATTTAACCATCAAAAAGTTTGAAAAGCTATTACACATCCTCATTCAGCCAAATGTCCCTTTGAAAGCAGAAGACTTTCAGATCTGCAAGGCAGCATGGTCACTGTGCTTGTCTTTGTGATTTGGTTATGTTTATAAATGCACTAGAGGCTTCCAACCTCCTATCAGGCCAAATGGCACTCACAAGACCAAGCTATGAAACGTGTCCTTTTGCATTAGTTCACTCACAGGGTAAGGTCTCCCCTCTTTTTGAGATTTTTCTTTTTAAATATGTTTATATTGTACAGGATAATAATGGTTTGTATAAAGGAATGAGACTTTTTTTATCATGATGGGGAGTGATGATGCATCGTTCTGCTTTTATGAGCGACAAACGGAGTATTTAAAATGAATATTTTTCAGGGATCATTATATGAAAAAGGGGTTGAATAGCTAATTTAAAGAAAATGATGCATCTTGTACATAAAACAGATTTGTACTTCCTTTTGAAAGATTGTTTCTTGTAGAAACGTCTTTTTTCTGCCCATTTTCCCTTGGATTCTTATGTGTAAATACTCTAACTGTGAATATATAAATATAAATATATATATATATTTTTGTTCCTGAGGATTTGCTACAGCGTCACAGCTCAGAAAGGTCTATCTGACAGTGAGTACAGAGAGCTGGTGGCAGTATTTTCAGCTTGTGTCAAGCTTTATTTTTTATTTTTGGTTGTAAATTCTATGAAAATCTGTTTGCAGTGTGGGGGGAAAGCATTATCATTCAGAAATGGCAAGGGACATTGGTAAAATTGACCTTTATCCCCTGTCTATTTATTATACCACAATTGTATGGAAAAAAGATCATGGAAAAATAAAGGATTTTTTTTCAACTGCCTTGTCTTGGAACTAATCTTTTAATCATGTCTCACACATTTATGTAAAGTTTATTAATCCGGATGTTTTATCTTGGTGAGTTCCTGTGTACAGCGTTAGCAGGATTTCAAATGTGAGTTTAATTACGAATAATAACTTCACATATTTGTGTCAGTAGGAGGTCTAAAGCACACTGGGTTCTCACCATCTGCCCTTCAAATTGCCTTACATAACTCATAGCTCTATTCATAGGTTTACCCTTTACTGTTCGGACTCGGCTATTGTTTGTAATGTATTTAGTTTCTACTCGCATGGTTCAACCAAAAAATACAAATAATAATTCCGTCACCAGTTGAACAAAAACATGAGTAGATTCTTTAACAATTAATTGTCTATATATATATATATATATATATATAACACAACCGCGAATGTTTACATAAAAAATCGTAAAAACAATGCAGTTTACGTAAGAAAAAAAGAATCTGGTGACGAACAGTATCGTTTTACAGTAATGTTATAGTTCAACATTTAACGGTTCTTGTTATATTACATTATTTTATAAATTGTTACCAATTAAACTAAAGAACAGTAATTTATAGGCAAGTAGTCGTTGATGGTCCACTTCAGAACGTCAGCTGAAATAGTGATTCTTCTGTCAGTGAGCAGCAGGGAATGACCTCACTGGCCAGATAGGCAAACCTAGTAACCTGAAAGAGACAGACACAAGGGCTCTTTGTGTGAGTGAGCAGTGCCCCCAGTGTCAGTAACAGGACGTGAAGGGTATGAGCACTACAACAATACACTTGTGTGTGATTGAGCTAGTCAAAATAGACAAAACACACCGATAACAATGTCATTTTATTTAATCTTTATTATTTGTAAAAGAGCACTTTGCACTTGATAGCTCTGCTATTGTATATACATCAAATAGTTTGTCTCCTGAGGTAAGTTTGTATTTTTCACATAACTCATTAATTGGTTTATCTATATAGGTGTGCATACTTTCACAAACGTCCTTTAAACTTTATGCAATTTTATCTTTCTACTATAGGCTATTATATGAAATCCCACTATGCAGCATTTGTGTGTGGGAAAAGGCTTTGAATGATCAAGTTCACAAAGAATGAATGAGGGGAAATATGTAAATGGGCATACCACCAAGGATTATCACTCATCCGATAGCAATTTTGTTGAACTCAATGGGGCTGCTGTAGATGTGTGATCAAAATTGCAACTACAATTTGTTTCAACATACAAATAATTAACACAATCGTTCTTGGTCAATTACAATTAATTATAATACCATTTAAGGCCCGTTCACAAAAAGGACGATAACTAGAAATGATAAAGTTTTAATAATCGTTCTAATGCTAGGAGAATAAGTCCACCAAAACCCTAACGACAATGACACAGAGGACCGATATCGTTGGAATCACCTCAGAACGATTTATTTTCTAGCTGATGAGCAATAAATACATGCGCTGCGTCCGAAATCGCATACTATATAATAGGCGAAAAACATTATCCCTGCGTCCCAATGTTCATACTATCCATCCTAAATAGTATGTGAGATCAAAATAAGTATGTCCCAAAGCATAGTATATTGAACAGAGTATGCCAGAAGTCCCCGGATGGTCTACTATTTCAGGTAGATTTTTGAAGTGTGGATCCGTGCACACGCTGATGGCTAATATTACCCACAATCCATTGCGCTTTGACGAATAATTCGGTTCAGAACTACAAACACGAATTAAAAAACGTAAAAATACAAACAAAAAAAACTACAAACATGGCGGATGTGCGCGACCGTCGTTTAAGTAGAGAGGTTTAGATAAAGGGGTTTGAGTTACGAATAATCAACATTTAACCTATTAAAAAAAATTTATTTAATGTTATCTGTGTTAGGATATTTCATCTACAACAACAATGTGAACTTTCATAAACATCCGTTTGGCCATTAACTTTTAAATGCACCATTATGCAAAAAATATGAGCCGTTCTCTGCAGAGAAGACCCAAGGCTGGCAGATCAACATGCTACTTCATTTCTCTCCAATATGTAGGAAGTTAAATGAAACAAAATGTGAAGAATATAAACAGTGACAAGATGATTGACAGGCCATTTTTCAGTGACAGGATGCGTGTAATTATGTGACAGAGCGGACCGTTAAAGACGCAGTTGTATGACGTTATATAGTATGTCCCAAAGCTTGCCTACTCTTCTACTACACACTCAAAAGTGTGTACTTTTTCTTCACCAAAAGAGTACATACTTTAAGGGCGTAGTATAGTAGGCACATTGGGATGCGTCCCAATCAGTGAGGCGAGTATGTCCGAAGTCATAGTATTCGAAAAACAATAGGCAAAAAGTACCCGGATGACCTACTACTTCCGCCCGGATTCTGAAGTGCGCATTCAAGATAGACACTGTACTATCCATACAGTCTATGGTACTATCCCATGAGGCCACGGGAGAGGATTTATGAACGGCAGTGAAGCGACGCAACTGACGCTGGTAGGTCATGTGACAGTAACAACATGGCGGATGTAGTACGTTTTTAACGGTCGTAAAGTAAATTCAAATTCAAATGTAGTAACTCAGACAGTACGCGATTTCAGACTCACTGATTGACATCCAATCAGAATCCACCTGATTTTAAAGAGCTCGTGCATTTAAACAAAGACGATAGAATACCCTTAAAGGGACTTTGATTTAAAGCAGCAGATGACGTAAATAAAACAGAACTTTATCCTGCGTTGGTGTGGACGCTAATATAGTTATCGTTCTTGGTGTGAACGGACCGTAAAAATAACTAATAATTACATGGTTTTAATAATCGTTTAAAGTTTTATGAGAATAAGTAAATCCACACCACAACTGCCTGTAATGATAATGAGGAACGATACCATTGCAACACTTTCAGAACAGTTTTTACCCCTAGCTGATAAACCATAAAATCATCGACAGCCAATCAGAATCCATTTAAAGTGGCAGATGACATAATGGCAGCGTGCTTATAATAAAGAGAACGTTAACGTTCTTGGTGTGAATGGGTCTTTAAAATGGCTAGTGACACTTTCTGACTAGCCTTTGACACAGTAATTGAAGTTTATGTTCAAGTGGACGTTTAATACTGTCCTTCTGCTATATGCAAAATACTAAATGTTTAAAAATCCAATATATAAAAGAACATTAAAAAGATTAAAAATGGCAAGAGGGGAAACTCCATTGGTGAGCAGTTTTGCATCTTTGGAAGCGTACACGGGCCGAACATAGGTTGGATGGATGTGTCTGTAGTTGTTCTGCAGGGGAACTTGTTTATCGGCTTCTTCCTCTGTGGAACATATCCCGCTTACAAACAGCTCGAACTGTCAAAAAAAAGCAAATGTTAGAAACATCTTAAATTTATGCAATTGTTTCATAAATGTATTACAGATCTGCAAACAACAACAACACAATCTGCTCAACTTGCAAACTGCAAGCGCGTCCTTGCGTGCGGCGTTATTGTGGCTTTAACAAACCGCCATACCTCAAATGTCCGCTATTAAACTTACGTTACTTATTTTGCGATTTACAAACATGACGACTTTTTAATTCAATTTTAACAAACTTATTTGGCAAGATTCCTATAATATAATATAACCGTAAAAGATTATGCTACTATCACTATAGCGCCACCTAGTGACAACACTGAAAGTGCAACGAGAACTTATGAAGTGCAAAAAAAAAAAAAAAAAATCGAATTAGCGTATCTAGAAGCACTTGTGTTCACATACTTATGTAGAGTATATACGTCTTACCTGAGCCCATGAGATATAGATGGGTACTTGATACACAGTGTGAACAGGGCGGCGTTGTGAGGCTGCCGTGATAACGGTAATACTGCGTTAGGTTGTTCTGAGGTAACAGATTCATCAAAGGAAATGGTCTGATCGATTTAGTTTGTCCTACAAGAAAATGAAAAAGATTTAGATTTATTTATATTTAGACTTTCTCACATTCTGTTTTTTTAAATGGAAGACCATTTCAACTACTGTCTCAACTAACCTTTGTAGGCGACAGAAAGAAGTGCATTTGAGATGGACTGGAAGTTTTCATTGTGCAAATATGTCACCTGTGGAAGAGTATTAACGATAAAATACAAACAGAGATGAAATATTACTTCAGATAAAACTATATCTTACATCAACGAAGACTCCAAGCACAACAAGGCCAGTTGTGTCTTCAAGCGCAGATGTCAAATTTGGGTGTGTGGATTTGATGTTGACTATGTGCATCTGTGCACAAACATGGACATCCATTACGAAAATGTAGACATCATGAACAGTTTTGAGATATGGACAACGTGAAGCCCCAAACCTCCATAGGAAACCTCAGGTGGTCCAGGGTGTGCTCAGAACCGTTTGAAGACCCAATGGAAATGCAGCTGGATGGTTCGGTAAGTCCCAGGAAGCCCTCCACCACTCACCTGCATACCGTTACCGACCTGAAGCACAACTACACACAGAGACATGTTTCAGATTGGAACCAGTTGAGCTACAACTTTCAATTTCCAGGGAACACTTCAATAAAATGTAGGTACCCTTTGAAGACGCTTGGGATAAAAGTGTCCAAAACGTCTTTCTAAAGGTCATTATTCACTTACCAGAGTGACCCTGGTTTGTCAGCCACCACTGGCCTTTATGAGTCAAATTAAAACCCTCCAGGTGCAGAGAGTCTAAAGATTGGTTCTTCATCAGCTGTAATCCAGGTTGATTGGAGAGTGATGGCTCTCCAAAAGAGGATGGCAAGAGGGGTAGATGTCTCCCCATACATATGGATCTACCAAGAACAATTTAATCTTGTTTACGTCATGACAATAGTAATATTGACAAAATTAGTATCTTTTGTCCTTCTGAATTATTTCTAACAAGAACAAGAACTCACCACAGTGCTCCTCATCATAACAGAAGTCTGAGAGAAAACAAAACAGTTAGTCTTTACCAGATTTTATAAATCCCTTATTTCAGTCAAAGGCATTAAACTTAATTCCTTAAAACTAAAAGTGAATTATAACTTGGAGAACTCCAATTTTTTTATCCAAAGCAACAGAAAGGAACTTTATCAATGAATCATTCGTCACTCACCATCATCACTGTCTGCCAATGAAACCACAGACAACATCAGCATCAGAAGTAACATCATGCTTCTAAAGTCAATAAATGTTCCCACTG